GTTTAAACCGTCACGTGGGCTGGCGCCTGGCTCCCCCACACGTGTCTCGTGTCACCCTGACATCCATACAGTCACGTGATAGTGGCCACATGGATTTGATCGACATGTGAACACAAATCACGGCGAGGGGATGAAGTCACGCGAGGGGATGAAGTCACGTGGTACTTCGATCGCTTCCGGCTTCTTTAATATATAAGGTCAAATAAAAACATTTGAACGACAGTCACAGGGACGACATACGAGACATAGAGGGCTGCGTTTACCTAGAACCATCGATACACACATATACCATGTACTCACCTCATACACCTGCCATGTACTCACACACCTGCCATGTACTCACACACCTGCCATGTACTCACACACCTGCCATGTACTCACACACCTACCATGTACTCACCTCACACACCTGCCATGTACTCACCTCACACACCTGCCATGTACTCACCTCACACACCTGCCATGTACTCACACACCTGCCATGTACTCACCTCACACACCTGCCATGTACTCACCTCACACACCTACCATGTACTTACCTCACACACCTGCCATGTACTCACACACCTGCCATGTACTCACCTCACACACCTGCCATGTACTCACCTCACACACCTGCCATGTACTCACACACCTGCCATGTACTCACACTCCTGCCATGTACTCACCTCACACACCTGCCATGTACTCACCTCACCCACCTGCCATGTACTCACACACCTGCCATGTACTCACACACCTGCCATGTACTCACACACCTACCATGTACTCACCTCACACACCTGCCATGTACTCACACACCTGCCATGTACTCACACACCTACCATGTACTCACCTCACACACCTACCATGTACTCACCTCACACACCTGCCATGTACTCACACACCTGCCATGTACTCACACATCTGCCATGTACTCACCTCACACACCTGCCATGTACTCACACACCTGCCATGTACTCACACACCTGCCATGTACTCATACACCTGCCATGTACTCACACACCTGACATGTACTCACACACCTGACATGTACTCACCTCACACACCTGCCATGTACTCACACACCTGCCATGTACTCACCTCACACACCTGCCATGTACTCACCTCACATACCTGCCATGTACTCACACACCTGCCATGTACTCACCTCCCACACCTGCCATGTACTCACCTCACACACCTGCCATGTACTCACACACCTGCCATGTACTCACCTCACACACCTGCCATGTACTCACCTCACACACCTGCCATGTACTCACCTCACACACCTGCCATGTACTCACACACCTGCCATGTACTCACCTCACACACCTGCCATGTACTCACCTCACACACCTGCCATGTACTCACCTCACACACCTGCCATGTACTCACCTCATACACCATGTACCCACACACCTACCATGTACTCACCTTACACACCTGCCATGTACTCACACACCTGCCATGTACTCACCTCACACACCTGCCATGTACTCACACACCTGCCATGTACTCACCTCACACACCTGCCATGTATTCACCTCACACACCTGCCATGTACTCACACACCTGCCATGTACTCACACACCTGCCATGTACTCACCTCACACACCTGCCATGTACTCACCTCACACACCTGCCATGTACTCACACACCATCCATGTACTCACCTCACACACCTGCCATGTACTCACCTCACACACCTGCCATGTACTCACACACCTACCATGTACACACCTCACACACCTGCCATGTACTCACACACCTGCCATGTACTCACCTCACACACCTGCCATGTACTCACCTCACACACCTACCATGTACACACCTCACACACCTGCCATGTACACACCTCACACACCTGCCATGTACTCACCTCACACACCTGCCATGTACTCACCTCACACACCTGCCATGTACTCACCTCACACACCTGCCATGTACTCACCTCACACACCTGCCATGTACTCACCTCACACACCTGCCATGTACTCACACACCTGCCATGTACTCACACACCTGCCATGTACTCACCTCACACACCTGCCATGTACTCACACACCTGCCATGTACTCACACACCTGCCATGTACTCACCTCACACACCTGCCATGTACTCACACACCTGCCATGTACTCACCTCACACACCTGCCATGTACTCACCTCACACACCTGCCATGTACTCACCTCACACACCTGCCATGTACTCACCTCACACACCTGCCATGTACTCACCTCACACACCTGCCATGTACTCACATCACACAACTGCCATGTACTCACCTCACACACCTGCCATGTACTCACACACCTGCCATGTACTCACCTCACACACCTGCCATGTACTCACCTCATACACCTGCCATGTACTAACCTCACACACCTGTCATGTACTCACCTCACACACCTGCCATGTACTCACACACCTGCCATGTACTCATCTCACACACCTGCCATGTACTCACACACCTGCCATGTACTCACCTCACACACCTGCCATGTACTCACACACCATCCATGTACTCACCTCACACACCTGCCATGTACTCACCTCACACACCTGCCATGACTCATCTCACACACCTGCCATGTACTCACCTCACACACCTGCCATGTACTCACCTTACACACCTGCCATGTACTCACCTCACACACCTACCATGTACTCACACACCTGCCATGTACTCACCTCACACACCTGCCATGTACTCACCTCACACACCTGCCATGTACTCACCTCACACACCTGCCATGTACTCACACACCTACCATGTACTCACCTCACACACCTGCCATGTACTCACCTCACACACCTGCCATGTACTCACACACCTGCCATGTACTCACACACCTGCCATGTACTCACACACCTGACATGTACTCACCTCACACACCTACCATGTACACACCTCACACACCTGCCATGTACTCACCTCACACACCTGCCATGTACTCACCTCACCCACCTGCCATGTACTCACCTCACACACCTGCCATGTACTCACACCCCTGCCATGTACTCACCTCACACACCTGCCATGTACTCACCTTACACACCATCCATGTACTCACCTCACATACCTGCCATGTACTCACCTTACACACCTGCCATGTACTCACCTCACACACCTGCCATGTACTCACACACCTGCCATGTACTCACCTCACACACCTGCCATGTACTCACCTCACACACCTGCCATGTACTCACCTCACACACCTGCCATGTACTCACACACCTACCATGTACTCACCTCACACACCTGCCATGTACTCACCTCACACACCTGCCATGTACTCACACACCTGCCATGTACTCACACACCTGCCATGTACTCACACACCTGACATGTACTCACCTCACACACCTGCCATGTACTCACCTCACACACCTACCATGTACACACCTCACACACCTGCCATGTACTCACCTCACACACCTGCCATGTACTCACCTCACCCACCTGCCATGTACTCACCTCACACACCTGCCATGTACTCACCTCACCCACCTGCCATGTACTCACACATCTGCCATGTACTCACCTCACACACCTGCCATGTACTCACACACCTGCCATGTACTCACACATCTGCCATGTACTCACCTCATACACCTGCCATGTACTCACACACCTGCCATGTATTCACCTCACACACCTGCCATGTACTCACACACCTACCATGTACTCACCTCACACACCTGCCATGTATTCACCTCACACACCTGCCATGTACTCACACACCTTCCATGTACACACCTCACACACCTGCCATGTACTCACACACCTGCCATGTACTCAAACACCTGCCATGTACTCACACACCTGCCATGTACTCACACACCTGCCATGTACTCACCTCACACACCTGCCATGTACTCACCTCACACACCTGCCATGTACTCACACACCTGCCATGTACTCACCTCAAACACCTGCCATGTACTCACCTCACACACCTGCCATGTACTCACCTCACACACCTGCCATGTACTCACCTCACACACCTGCCATGTACTCACCTCACACACCTGCCATGTACTCACCTCACACACCTGCCATGTACTCACACACCTGCCATGTACTCACCTCACACACCTGCCATGTACTCACCTCACACACCTGCCATGTACTCACCTCACACACCTGCCATGTACTCACACACCTGCCATGTACTCACACACCTGCCATGTACTCACACACCTGCCATGTACTCACACACCTGCCATGTACTCACCTCACACACCTGCCATGTACTCACCTCACACACCTGCCATGTACTCACCTCACACACCTGCCATGTACTCACACACCTGTCATGTACTCACCTCACACACCTGCCATGTACTCACCTCACACACCTGCCATGTACTCACACACCTGCCATGTACTCACCTCACACACCTGCCATGTACTCACACACCTGCCATGTACTCACACACCTGCCATGTACTCACACACCTGTCATGTACTCACCTCACACACCTGCCATGTACTCACACACCTGCCATGTACTCACCTCACAACCTGCCATGTACTCACCTCACACACCTGCCATGTACTCACCTCACAACCTGCCATGTATTCACCTCACACACCTGCCATGTACTCACACACCAGCCATGTACTCACACACCTGCCATGTACTCACCTCACACACCTGCCATGTACTCACACACCTGCCATGTACTCACACACCTGCCATGTACTCATCTCACACACCTGCCATGTACTCACCTCACACACCTGCCATGTACTCACCTCACACACCTGCCATGTACTCACCTCACACACCTGCCATGTACTCACACACCTGCCATGTACTCACCTCACACACCTGCCATGTACTCACCTCATACACCTGCCATGTACTAACCTCACACACCTGTCATGTACTCACCTCACACACCTGCCATGTACTCACCTCACACACCTGCCATGTACTCACACCCCATGGCTCCCACCCCCATGGCTCCAAAGTTTGACGGTATTTTCCTATTGTCTTGACAGCTGAAGAGCCAGTCGATGAGAGCCATGGAATGCTGCGGGACACATACTCGCAGGAAGGAACAGCTCAGGACAAAATTGACGGTAAGCTTGGAAGGTCGCCCTGTCAGTTCCTCGCTCCGCCCATCACTATTACTTGTGTTAATGTTCTTTAGTTGTGTCAATGTTCCGTAGTTGTGTCAATGTTCCGTAGTTGTGTCAATGTTCTTTAGTTGTGTCAATGTTCCGTAGTTGTGTCAATGTTCCGTAGTTGTGTCAATGTTCCGTAGTTGTGTCAATGTTCCGTAGTTGTGTCAATGTTTTTTAGTTGTTTCAATGTTCCGTAGTTGTGTCAATGTTCCGTAGTTGTGTCAATGTTCCGTAGCTGTGTCAATGTTCCGTAGTTGTGTCAATGTTCCGTAGTTGTGTCAATGTTCTTTAGTTGAGTCTATGTCCTTAAGTTGTGTCAATGTTCCGTAGTTGTGTCAATGTTCTTTAGTTGTGTCAATGTTCAATTGCGGCCTTAAATTCAGTCGTCACAATCGTCACACTTATCACATTCGCCTCAGTTGTGTGCTGCCGTTAAACTGTTACAGGTAGGCACGCGAGCAGCTGTTACAGGTAGGCACGCGAGCAACTGTTACAGGTAGGCACGCGAGCAACTGTTAGAGGTAGGCACGCGAGCAACTGTTACAGGTAGGCACGCGAGCAACTGTTACAGGTAGGCACGCGAGCAACTGTTACAGGTAGGCACGCGAGCAACTGTTACAGGTAGGCACGCGAGCAACTGTTACAGGTAGGCACGCGAGCAACTGTTACAGGTAGGCACGCGAGCAACTGTTACAGGTAGGCACGCGAGCAACTGTTACAGGTAGGCACGCGAGCAACTGTTACAGGTAGGCACGCGAGCAACTGTTACAGGTAGGCACGCGAGCAACTGTTACAGGTAGGCACGCGAGCAACTGTTACAGGTAGGCACGCGAGCAACTGTTACAGGTAGGCACGCGAGCAGCTGTTAGAGGTATTTTCTTAGAGCGGTCAGTTTTACAACACTCCATCAGCTTTGGATATGCCGAGTTTAAATAGGCACCTGGGCCGCGTGGGTGATAGGTTGGTGATAGGTTGGTGACAGGTTAGGTGATAGGTTGGGTGAGGTAATAGGTTGGTGATAGGTTGGTGACAGGTTAGGTGATAGGTTGGGTGATAGGTTGGTGATAGGTTGATGACAGGTTGGTGATAGGTTGGTGACAGGTTGGGTGATAGGTTGGTGATAGGTTGTGTCTGGGCCGCCTCAAGCATGTCCCGTCTTGTTCTAGTTCTAGCACGTGTGGCAAGCGGCCAGGATGAGCAGGTTGACCACAACTCCAACAAACCTGCTGACGTGGCAGACACTCCCCCGCCTGAACAAGACGTGTCGTCTGCTGACTGTGTTGACGTGAAGCCTGACGCCGACCTCGTGTCCAAAGCGCAGGTGATGAAGTGCGAGGCTTGTCATGCGCAGTTCCACAGCCTGGATCAGTTCATGGACCACAGGAACCTGGACTGTTGTCTGGACACAGGTGAGCTGCTGGGGTGGTGTGTGTGTGTGGGGGTGTCGGGGGGGGGGTGTGGGGGTGTCTGGGTGTGTGGGAATGGTGGTGCCGGGATGGTGTGGGGTGGTGTGGGGGTGGGTTTTTGTAGGGGTGTTGTGCAGGTGGATATGGTGTGGATGCTGTGAGGTGTTGAGGGGATTTTTGTGGTGGTGTCGGGTATTGTGGGTGTTAAGTGTGGTGTTGATGTGGGGTGGAGCTGTGGGGTTTGAGTGGGCGGGGTTATGTGGTCTCTCTAACAAACAACATTGGCCCATCTTCCCCCCCCCCTCCCCATCCCCTCCGATCAGTAAGTAGCGAGTAGGTTGTCCAGAGCTAACAAACAACATTGTTCCATCTTCCCCATCCCCTCCCATCAGTAAGTAGCGAGTAGGTTATCCAGAGCTAACAAACAACATTGTCCCCCCCCCACCCCAGTAAGAAGCGAGTTGTCCATGTCTCTCTAACAAGCAAAATTGCCCCCCCCCACCTCTCACCCCCCACCAATAAGTAGCGAGTAGGTTGTCCAGAGCTCTCTAACAAACAACATTGTCCCCTCCCTACCTCCCTACCTCCCCCCCCCCTCTCTAACAAACAACATTGTCCCATCCCTACCTCCCCCCTCTCTAACAAATAACATTGTCATTGTCCCATCCCTACCTCCCCCCTACCCCCCCTACCCCCAGTAAGCAGCGAGTAGGTTGTCCATGTCTCTCTAACAAGCAAACTTGTCCCCTCCCTACCTACCTCCCCACCCCTCTCTAACAAGCAAACTTGTCCCCTCCCTACCTCCCCCCCCCCCTCTCTAACAAGGAAACTTGTCCCCTACCTCCCCCCCCCCTCTCTAACAAGCAAACTTGTCCCCTCCCTACCTACCTCCCCACCCCTCTCTAACAAGCAAACTTGTCCCCTCCCTACCTCCCCCCCCCTCTCTAACAAGCAAACTTGTCCCCTACCTCCCCCCCCTCTCTAACAAGCAAACTTGTCCCCTACCTCCCCACCCCTCTCTAACATGCAAACTTATCCCCTACCTCCCCCCCCCCCTCTCTAACAAGCAACACTGTCCCGGAAGTCTACGGGGTCCCAGGAGGACCCTGGCTCTGATGAGTGCCAGCCAAGCCCTTCATCCCTCGGGAATCTCGTTGCTATGGTTACAGGAATTGTAGAGTCTCCCCTGGGAGGCCTCGGTGTGTGTGTTGACTCTTAAAACTTTAAATAAGCCATCCTGCTGGTGCTTGGACCAATCAATACCCGACATTTTTTTTTACTCGCGCTAATATTTTTAACCATTGAAAACAAGAAATCGATACTTGCCTCAACATTTTAAAAAATGAAGCCGTTAATTTCATGATCAGAGTTTAGAAACAACTACAACATCAAAGAAATTGTTTTAGTTGCACGTTTCATGAATCTAAGCTTTATAAAGTTGTGTGCATGAATCTAAGCTTTATAAAGTTTTGCTGCATAAATCTAAGCTTTATAAAGTTGTGCTGCATAAATCTAAGCGTTATAAAGTTGTGTGCATCTTTCATGAATCTAAGCTTTATATTATAAAGTTGTGCTAAATGAATCTAAGCTTTATAAAGTTGTGTGCATACATCTAAGCTTCATAAAGTTGTGTGCATTAATCTAAGCTTTATACAGTTGTGCTAAATGAATCTAAGCTTTATAAAGCTGTGTGCATGAATCTAAGCTTTATAAAGTTGTGCTGCATAAATCTAAGCTTTATATAAATTATAAAATTGTGCTGCATCTTTCATGAATCTAAGCTTCATTACGTTCATGAGAGTTTTTTGATGGCATAGATTAAGGAAAACAAAAAAGTTTTTTCTGATGACGTCATGTGTTAGTTTTTTCAGTCTGCGTCATTCATAACAATATAAAAACATGAAATCTCGTGAGAGTTCGCCCCGCGAGAGTGTAATAAAACAAAGCCATACAGTGGCATATAGGATCAGCATAATTTGTTTCTTTCTACGGGGACATAATGAATGGAGGCTAGTGGGTTAGTGTCTTGGTGGTTGTTGTATGTGTGTGTATGGTGTCATGGGGGGGGGGGGGGGGGGCAGGGTGACGGGGGTTGCTGTTTGTGTGTATGGTGTCGTGGGGGGGGGGGCAGGGTGACCCGGGGGGGGGGGTGGTTGCTGGGGCTTCAGGGGCGGGATGCACTCGAAAAAGTAAATGAGCGGGTTTCGGTAAGACGTTCTTGGGGGGAGGCGAAGAGATGCCTAAAAGAAACTCTTCTCCCCCTGACTAAATAGGAAAAAATGCCAAGGGAAAGTAGAGTTTAATTATTGTTCACACCCTCCCCTAGAAAATTCTAGTCCCCCCCTCACCCCAACAGTAAAACGTATGGTTGAAATTTGTAATAACCCATAGGCTTGAATTGATAACCCACATTTGAATAAATAATTCAACCCAAGAGAGGTCGAAGTTCACGTCCTCCGGCCATTAAAGATGTTTCAAAACGAGGTGATTACACCGGATTTCAATATTTATTATTCAAGTCAAACATATAAAACCTAATGCGATTATCTCCCTTGACAGTCAACTCTCGTTAGAGCTCACTTAATGAGGAGGTAGGAAAGTTTTACCACCATTAGCATTATATTTTACGTTTACCATTGTAATTCTACACAGACAAAATACACAGGAAACGGTCGCTCGCTGTGTTTATCTTTGTGTGCGCGCGCAGGTCTCTGTGTGTTTGTGTGTGCGTGCTCAGATGTATTTGAAACGTTTAATAGAAAGGCCTTTTGTTTAATATAAAGTTATCATCAGGCAGATTGAAAGTACCGCATAGGAAGACGGTAGAACAGTAGCGTAGCGAGGGGAGGGGGACGGGGGGGGGGGGAGACATGTCCCCGGGCGACGACCTTAGGGGGCGCCAAAATGGGTTGGAACAATAAATTGAAAGGTTGAGGGGGGTGCAAATCGAAAGTTTGAGGGGGGGGGGGTGCAAATCGAAAGTTTGAGGGGGGGGGTGCAAATCGAAATCTTGAAATGGGGGGGGGGGGGGGGGGGCAAATCGAAAAGTTTGTCCCCGGGCGCCGGGAGACGGTAGAAAGCTCCACATTAGGGAGACGGTAGAAAGCTCCACATTAGGGAGACGGTAGAAAGCTCCACATTAGGGAGACGGTAGAAAGCTCCACATTAGGGAGACGGTAGAAAGCTCCACATTAGGGAGACGGTAGAAAGCTCCACATTAGGGAGACGGTGGAAAGCTCCACATTAGGGAGACGGTAGAAAGCTCCACATTAGAGAGACGGAGACGGTAGAAAGCGCCACATTAGGGAGACGGTAGAAAGCTCCACATTAGGGAGACGGTAGAAAGCTCCACATTAGGGAGACGGTAGAAAGCTCCACATTAGGGAGACGGTAGAAAGCTCCACATTAGGGAGACGGTAGAAAGCTCCACATTAGGGAGACGGTAGAAAGCTCCACATTAGGGAGACGGTAGAAAGCTCCACATTAGAGAGACGGAGACGGTAGAAAGCGCCACATTAGGGAGACGGTAGAAAGCTCCACATTAGGGAGACGGTAGAAAGCTCCACATTAGGGAGACGGTAGAAAGCTCCACATTAGGGAGACGGTAGAAAGCTCCACATTAGGGAGACGGTAGAAAGCTCCACATTAGGGAGACGGTAGAAAGCTCCACATTAGGGAGACGGTAGAAAGCTCCACATTAGGGAGACGGTAGAAAGCTCCACATTAGGGAGACGGTAGAAAGCTCCACATTAGTTAGACGGAGACGGTAGAAAGCGCCACATTAGGGAGACGGTAGAAAGCACCACATTAGGGAGACGGTAGAAAGCTCCACATTAGGGAGACGGTAGAAAGCTCCACATTAGGGAGACGGTAGAAAGCTCCACATTAGGGAGACGGTAGAAAGCTCCACATTAGAGAGACGGAGACGGTAGAAAGCGCCACATTAGGGAGACGGTAGAAAGCTCCACATTAGGGAGACGGTAGAAAGCTCCACATTAGGGAGACGGTAGAAAGCTCCACATTAGGGAGACGGTAGAAAGCTCCACATTAGGAAGACGGTAGAAAGCTCCACATTAGGGAGACGGTAGAAAGCTCCACATTAGGGAGACGGTAGAAAGCTCCACATTAGGGAGACGGAGACGGTAGAAAGCGCCACATTAGGGAGACGGTAGAAAGCTCCACATTAGGAAGACGGTAGAAAGCTCCACATTAGGGAGACGGTAGAAAGCTCCACATTAGGGAGACGGTAGAAAGCTCCACATTAGGGAGACGGTAGAAAGCTCCACATTAGGGAGACGGTAGAAAGCTCCACATTAGGGAGACGGTAGAAAGCTCCACATTAGGGAGACGGTAGAAAGCTCCACATTAGGGAGACGGTAGAAAGCTCCACATTAGGGAGACGGTAGAAAGCTCCACATTAGGGAGACGGTAGAAAGCTCCACATTAGGGAGACGGTAGAAAGCTCCACATTAGGGAGACGGAGACGGTAGAAAGCGCCACATTAGGGAGACGGTAGAAAGCTCCACATTAGGGAGACGGTAGAAAGCTCCACATTAGGGAGACGGTAGAAAGCTCCACATTAGGGAGACGGTAGAAAGCTCCACATTAGGGAGACGGTAGAAAGCTCCACATTAGGGAGACGGTAGAAAGCTCCACATTAGGGAGACGGTAGAAAGCTCCACATTAGGGAGACGGAGACGGTAGAAAGCGCCACATTAGGGAGACGGTAGAAAGCTCCACATTAGGGAGACGGTAGAAAGCTCCACATTAGGGAGACGGTAGAAAGCTCCACATTAGGGAGACGGTAGAAAGCTCCACATTAGGGAGACGGTAGAAAGCTCCACATTAGGGAGACGGTAGAAAGCTCCACATTAGGGAGACGGTAGAAAGCTCCACATTAGGGAGACGGTAGAAAGCTCCACATTAGGGAGACGGAGACGGTAGAAAGCTCCACATTAGGGAGACGGTAGAAAGCTCCACATTAGGGAGACGGTAGAAAGCTCCACATTAGGGAGACGGTAGAAAGCTCCACATTAGGGAGACGGTAGAAAGCTCCACATTAGGGAGACGGTAGAAAGCTCCACATTAGGGAGACGGTAGAAAGCTCCACATTAGGGAGACGGTAGAAAGCTCCACATCATAAGTCAGCCGAATCAGACATTTGTTGGGCACCGGAGACCAGAAGATTTTGGGATTATCCTGGAGACAATAGCGCTAGAGTGCTAATCCCATCTGATGCTGGATCAAGATTTATGGTCCGACATAATCTTGTCTGCTGCCCTCCTTCAGCGGACTTGAGAAGCCAGTTGGATCTTCTTTAACAGCCATACAAGGTCAACTTTTACAGCCATACAAGGTCAACTTTTACAGTCATACAAGGTCAACTTTTACAGCCATACAAGGTCAACTTTTACAGCTAGACAAGGACAACCTTTACAGCTAGACAAGGTCAACTTTTACAGCTAGACAAGGACAACTTTTACAGCCATACAAGGTCAACTTTTACAGCTAGACAAGGACAACTTTTACAGCTAGACAAGGACAACTTTTACAGCTAGACAAGGACAACACACCCGCTCTATGACTGTGTGATCTTCTTGAACAAAATTGTCCTGGACTAGTATTATCCGGTTGTTTATTTGTCCGGGCCATTTGTCCGGTTATTTGTCCGTGTGTTTGTTGTCTAGATTTGGACGTGTTTACCAGACTGGCCGTTACATTAGCTGCAAGTCCCAGCCCGGGGGTAAAGTAGCTCGGGCCGGAGTCCATGAAATTGGGGCGGTAATGCTGAGAGATTGGCACCGAGACTTTGGTGCGCCCCAGGGAGCAGCCCCAGGGGAGGGCGTCTGTGATTGGCTGGCCTCAGCGGGGGTGCGGCCTGGTGGATCTTGATTGCATATTCAGCAGGCAGCGACTCAGGGGACTGTACTCATTCTGACCCCAGCAGGTGTACTGGGGCTCTGGTGCCAGGGACGTAATTACGCTGGCTGCACGCTTAGCTCCCCTGGGAGGCCATTTTGTTTTTTTGAAATGTTGACTGGGTAGTGAGCTAGGCGGGAGGGTGGGGTGTTGAGGAGGTGTATAGGGGCGGTAGGGGTGGGGGTTTACCCCACGGGGTATCTTTTATTTCGGTGCAAATGTCTGCTTATAATGGATTTTCTGGCTTAGAGGTTCACACAGAGCCGGGTATGGAGAACTGTCTTGTCTGGGTATTGATGTATCGAAAACAAATGGCGGGATTATTCATCGTATTTTAGGTCTTCATGAAAGATTCAACAGGGATAGACCCTACCCAGCGGTGTCCCGGAGGGGGGGGGGTAGGGGGCGACAGATAAGTTGTAGAACGTAAACCAGCCGTGTCCCGGGGTAGATGTGCCAATAAATGTTGGACTAAACACACCGAAACAAATGTTGGACTAAACACACCGAAACAAATGTTGGACTAAACACACCGAAACAAATGTTGGACTAAACACACCGAAACAAATGTTGGACTAAACACACCGAAACAAATGTTGGACTAAACACACCGAAACAAATGTTGGACTAAACACACCGAAACAAATGTTGGACTAAACACACCGAAACAAATGTTGGACTAAACACACCGAAACAAATGTTGGACTAAACACACCGAAACAAATGTTGGACTAAACACACCGAAACAAATGTTGGACTAAACACACCGAAACAAATGTTGGACTAAACACACCGAAACAAATGTTGGACTAAACACACCGAAACAAATGTTGGACTAAACACACCGAAACAAATGTTGGACTAAACACACCGAAACAAATGTTGGACTAAACACACCGAAACAAATGTTGGACTAAACACACCGAAACAAATGTTGGACTAAACACACCGAAACAAATGTTGGACTAAACACACCGAAACAAATGTTGGACTAAACACACCGAAACAAATGTTGGACTAAACACACCGAAACAAATGTTGGACTAAACACACCGAAACAAATGTTGGACTAAACACACCGAAACAAATGTTGGACTAAACACACCGAAACAAATGTTGGACTAAACACACCGAAACAAATGTTGGACTAAACACACCGAAACAAATGTTGGACTAAACACACCGAAACAAATGTTGGACTAAACACACCGAAACAAATGTTGGACTAAACACACCGAAACAAATGTTGGACTAAACACACCGAAACAAATGTTGGACTAAACACACCGAAACAAATGTTGGACTAAACACACCGAAACAAATGTTGGACTAAACACACCGAAACAAATGTTGGACTAAACACACCGAAACAAATGTTGGACTAAACACACCGAAACAAATGTTGGACTAAACACACCGAAACAAATGTTGGACTAAACACACCGAAACAAATGTTGGACTAAACACACCGAAACAAATGTTGGACTAAACACACCGAAACAAATGTTGGACTAAACACACCGAAACAAATGTTGGACTAAACACACCGAAACAAATGTTGGACTAAACACACCGAAACAAATGTTGGACTAAACACACCGAAACAAATGTTGGACTAAACACACCGAAACAAATGTTGGACTAAACACACCGAAACAAATGTTGGACTAAACACACCGAAACAAATGTTGGACTAAACACACCGAAACAAATGTTGGACTAAACACACCGAAACAAATGTTGGACTAAACACACCGAAACAAATGTTGGACTAAACACACCGAAACAAATGTTGGACTAAACACACCGAAACAAATGTTGGACTAAACACACCGAAACAAATGTTGGACTAAACACACCGAAACAAATGTTGGACTAAACACACCGAAACAAATGTTGGACTAAACACACCGAAACAAATGTTGGACTAAACACACCGAAACAAATGTTGGACTAAACACACCGAAACAAATGTTGGACTAAACACACCGAAACAAATGTTGGACTAAACACACCAACAAATGGCCAGCTGCTTCGTACTCGAGCAAGGGATCCGAACTCGAGGTTTTCGGATTAGCACTCGCGCGTTCTACAGCGTGACCACGCCGTTACAAACATGTGAGCAAGTTAAAAGTGACGCGAGCATGAAAGGGAAAAAACAAGCCGTAATTTTAGCGTCATGTGACGTCACCGACAAGGTAGATGACGATTCCCCCCCCCCCCCCCCAACACGATTTAAATTAAGCCAAGTAATTCGTTCAGGCTAATGGCCGTTCTAGAACGTATCTTTAAAAGTGTGAGGTGCATGAACAGTCACGTCGGTTTTATCTCGACCGTGCAGGATGTGTCGCGTTGAACACATCCAACACAATAGAATAGAAAGTTGCACCAGGGATCTCTAGAGGCAGAGGCGTAGCGACCCTTCCCGGCGCCCAGGGACAAACTTTCGATTTGCACCCCCCTCAAGATTTCGACCTGCACCACCCCTCAACCTTTCAATTTATTTTTCCAACCCATTTTGGCGCCTCCTAAAGTCGGCGCCCGGGGACATGTGTCCCCCCCCCCCCGCCCCTCTCTACGCCTCTGTCTAGAGGGGTCGTCTCAGGGGCGGGATTTAAAAAACGGATGACTAAAGGGTTGGTGCAAAAACAAACCTACCTTAAAATATCACAAAAACAAACCTACCTTAAAATATCACAAAGATTTTTCAAACAAAATTTTTTAGCAGTTAATGTAGCTGGATTGTTGCCAGTATTTTTTTTTAATAAATTGTTCCCCTTTAATTCCACTCGTGTTCCCACTGTAGCGTCACTTAGTGTCCCTTATAACTGCGTCAATTGTTCCCCATACCATCCCCGAATGTTCCCCATTAGTCCACCGATTGTTCCCCATAAGACCAATGTTCCCCATACTATCCCCGATTGTTCCCCAATAAGACCATTGAATGTTCCCCATAAGACAAATGTTCCCCATAAGACGAATGTTCCCCACTAGACGAATGTTCCCCATAACACCACTGAATGTTCCCCATAAGACGAATGTTCCCCATAAGACCACCGAATGTTCCCCATAAGACGAATGTTCCCCATAACACCACCGAGTGTTCCCCATAAGACCACTGAATGTTCCCCATAAGACGAATGTTCCCCATAAGACCACCGAATGTTCCCCATAAGACCACCGAATGTTCCCCATAAGACGAATGTTCCCCATAACACCACCGCATGTTCCCTCCACAGACACGAAGAGCAACTGGCTGCTGAGTGAGACCAACTCGACCAGGTCCGCCTCCCCGTCCTCCCAGTCCACCTCTTCTGTTGACGCCGGTGGGGGTGGCGCCACTGACCTCGACTGTCCCGAACTGGACGGACTGGACCCCAAGAGCGTCCCCTTTGTTATCGGGGTCACTGACGAGAACCCCCACAACTGCCAGTTCTGTGAGAAGGCGTTTTCCAAGAAAGTCTTTTTAAAACTTCACCAGCAGGTACCATTTTTGTATTGTGCATGGGGGGGAGGGGGGGAGGGGTATGAAAACACCCCAGCATTATAGAATTACAAAATGGGGCCAATTTAAATAAAGCGGGAGATCTCCCCGAAACTTTCTCGTATATACTTATATAACTTTTAAAAATAGAATAGAATCTTGTAGAAAAAAGAATTGCGCAGCCAGTGAATTGCAAACAATGTGTGCATAATAGTGCGGAATATTAGTAGGCCTACTTTATAAACTCATATGCGTATTTTGAGAAATTGGAAATAGCGTAAAGTACTACTTCCGGTAAACGGAAATTACTCAAAATTTGAAGGAAGGCATAGAACTGGATTATATCTTTTACTTATACTTGAAATTTCGTTGATCTATCTATACCACTTCCGGTTACTGGAAATAGCAGAAAAGTTGAAACAAAACTACAAATTTGATATAATACTTATATATGAAATGTCATTAACCTAAACGTAACGGTACTCAAGTTATCGTGTTCACAGACACACATCTACACACACACACGTACACATACGGACAAAATTACTCAGGATTACAATACTTCCTGTATACTTAGTATAAGAGAAAGTAAAAACAATAACATTCAAATCATATTTTGATAATAATTGATTTGTAAAAGTAAAAGCGTTAGTCTAACTTTAGGGATTGTCATCACAAGGTACTTTTAGGTGGCAAATGGAAAAAAGGTCACAAGAAAAAAAAAGAAAAAAGTCAGTTTTTGCTAGGAAAAAAAGTCACAGAAAAAAAGTCACAAAGGAAAAATTTTATCGTAAAAAAAAGTCACAGAAATGAAGTCACAGAAAAAAGTCACAAAAATCTTTTGAGAAATCTTTTGATTTAAGTGTTGAGAATCGTAAAATGTTAGGTGTTTATGTTTTTGTAGCATATTTATAAACTTTAAAAGCATTATGTTTTATGACCATAATTTGTAAAAGTAATATAAGGTAATTTACACATCAACCTCAACTTTGTTGAATACGCGGTAGAAAAATTAATTTCAAAAGAAATTTAGGCACATCATTGTGTTTTGCATATTTGTTTTTGCCATAGGCATTTCCTTGGTCGGCTTCTCCTCTGTCGGCTTGTCCGTCCAAATTGTGTGTTGTTTTGCGTCCATTGCGGCGAGCTGAGTGACTTACTCGAACGAACTCAGCATTTCGATGTTCTACATCCCCTCTGTCCCTTACCCCCGCGGGTAAAAAGTGAAATAGCTGGCACTAGTAAACAAAACACTTGTACCAGACAGACCCAAATCGCACTGGCCAAACCGCGAACCTCTCACAAAGGAAGACAACTCCGATGATGAAATGCCAAGATTTGCTGGTGATCGTTCTTTAGGGACTTGTTTTGTTTATAAGCCGCCATTCAAGTTTTCTGATCTCTCGTCTGCAGACTCACACGGCGCACATGCCCTACAAATGCCGACACTGTCCCAGGCTATTTCGGCACAAGAAGAGTCGAGAAAGACACGAAAAGCTGCATTCATCAGACCGGAAGTACAAGTGCCAGACGTGTGGGGTAGGATACTCAAGGTACCGCTAATTTGAATTATTGTCTTCAAAGAAAGGTCACTCTGCATTTTCTGCATTACCATCTCACTCAGTGGTGAGTGCAGCGGGTGTGTGTGTGTGTGGGGGGGGTGGTTAGAACCCTCTCCTCACACTTGAACCACCCTTATTTAGTATTTACTTTAAGTTAGAGCTAGATTCTATAAGTAAGAAAGTTTTTATTGTCATAAAGTGACATAAAGTCAAATCACAACTTAACATTAAAGCAATTTTAACATATAGATCTCTAATATAGAGGGAAAACGCTTTTCTAAGATCAAATCTTGCATATTCCACTACTCACTCTACTCATTATATATATAGAAATATATATATATATATATATATATATATATATATATATATATATATATGCGCAAAAATACAGTTATGTGTGTGTATGCATGTTTAGAATTCAATCATTATGTATTTTCTCTTGTTTCTGCTATATAAACATTAAGCATACACATCTGACCTTGACCCTCCATGTCTGGCAAAACATATCTTGAGACCATTATTCACAACCACCCAGTCTGCTGGAGGATGTGGTGATGTTTGCCACCCTAAAGTAATCCCATAAGGCATCATTAGATCCAGCGCTGCAGAAATGTAGTCCTATAAAACTGTGGCACATTTCCAAAGTTTGGACACTAGAAGACAGGGGAATAGGGCTGTTTACATAGATGGTACTGCCCAGATAGAACACTGCCAGTCTGGATTTACTGGACTGTTCAGTGTTTCTGCCATTTTTCTCCAGGGGAGCACTTGAAATTTTCAGGGATGGGGGCCTGGAAAAAACTCTGTCCAGATACACCAGAATGTCCAGATGTAGTAGACTACCTACACTGAGGTGTGCTGATACACTGGACTGTCCAGATATACTGGACTGTCCAGATATAATAGGCATAAGAAAAATGATGTATGATGTACAAATATTGAAGTGTTGTAGGACATACAGACATTGAAAGGATATAAGCTAGACAGACATTGAAAGGATATAAGCTAGACAGACATTGAAAGGATGTAAGCTAGACAGACATTGAAAGGATATAAGCTAGACAGACATTGAAAGGATATAAGCTAGACAGACATTGAAATGATATAAGCTAGACAGACATTGAAAGGATATAAGCTAGACAGACATTGAAAGGATATAAGCTAGACAGACATTGAAAGGATATAAGCTAGACAGACATTGAAAGGATATAAGCTAGACAGACATTGAAAGGATATAAGCTAGACAGACATTGAAAGGATATAAGCTAGACAGACATTGAAAGGATATAAGCTAGACAGACATTGAAAGGATATAAGCTAGACAGACATTGAAAGGATATAAGCTAGACAGACATTGAAAGGATATAAGCTAGACAGACATTGAAAGGATATAAGCTAGACAGACATTGAAAGGATATAAGCTAGACAGACATTGAAATGATATAAGCTAGACAGACATTGAAATGATATAAGCTAGACAGACATTGAAATGATATAAGCTAGACAGACATTGAAATGATATAAGCTAGACAGACATTGAAAGGATATAAGCTAGACAGACATTGAAATGATATAAGCTAGACAGACATTGAAATGATATAAGCTAGACAGACATTGAAATGATATAAGCTAGACAGACATTGAAAGGATATAAGCTAGACAGACATTGAAATGATATAAGCTAGACAGACATTGAAATGATATAAGCTAGACAGACATTGAAAGGATATAAGCTAGACAGACATTGAAAGGATATAAGCTAGACAGACATTGAAAGGATATAAGCTAGACATTGAAAGGATATAAGCTAGACAGACATTGAAAGGATATAAGCTAGACAGACATTGAAATGATATAAGCTAGACAGACATTGAAATGATATAAGCTAGACAGACATTGAAATGATATAAGCTAGACAGACATTGAAATGATATAAGCTAGACAGACATTGAAATGATATAAGCTAGACAGACATTGAAAGGATATAAGCTAGACAGACATTGAAAGGATATAAGCTAGACAGACATTGAAATGATATAAGCTAGACAGACATTGAAATGATATAAGCTAGACAGACATTGAAATGATATAAGCTAGACAGACATTGAAATGATATAAGCTAGACAAACATTGAAATGATATAAGCTAGACAGACATTGAAATGATATAAGCTAGACAGACATTGAAATGATATAAGCTAGACAGACATTGAAATGATATAAGCTAGACAGACATTGAAAGGATATAAGCTAGACAGACATTGAAAGGATGTAAGCTAGACAGACATTGAAAGGATGTCCAACACACAGACAGTGAAATGAATGCAGATGTACCATGGACTAAGTGCATCTATTTACCATGGTGAGGCTGACATGAATTTTTCATTTTTTCCCCTTGCTACAGTCATAGTTTTCATTTCCAGCTTTCCATTCCAAATTGTGTACCAAGTCATTATGCCTTCATGAGTGATTTCCCTTGTGTAAAGATGCTGCATTAAGATATGTCTCTCTGGGGGGGGACAGTGAAACCAAGAGAGGTGACCTGAATAAATTACTTACGGGTTTTGTAGGTCTGCCCATACACATTTGCATATTCTCCGGCAGACGGCTCATCAATTCTTCACTACACATAAGCATTCCCCAGACCTTGTTTTAGTCTTTTGAGCAAGTTTTTGTTATGTGACCAACATTACATGAGCAACATTACATGAGCAACATTACTGACCATCATTACATAACCCCAACATTACATGACCCTAAAATTACATGACCCCACCATACATGACCAAAATAAAAAAAAATAAAAAGGACTTCGTTTATGTTGATTTCCAAACTTTAAAAATGCATCAAAATACTTAGTTAAAGTTAGTGAATGAACACATCTCAGCTACAGGGTGAAAACTTTCTGGTTTTCAATCATCTTCTTTGTGAAAATTTAAAAAAAAAACATGGCTGACAGTTTTTAATTTTTTTTCCAAAAATATCTAAATTGATTAAAAAATGTCAATCTTTAATAAATTAATTTATAAATGTTTAATCTTTAATAAAATATCTAAATTAATTTAAAAATGTTCAGTATTTAATAAAATATCTAAATTAACTTAAAAATGTTCAGTATTTAATAAAATATCTAAATTAATTTTAAAAATGTTCAATCTTTAATAAAATATCTAAATTAATTTAAAAATGTTCAGTATTTAATAAAATATCTAAATTAATTTTAAAATGTTCAATCTTTAATAAAATATCTAAATTAATTTTAAAATGTTCAACCCTTAAAACATGTATGACTCTTGACCATCCACTTAAGTAACTTGAAATAGTTGGGTGTTGCATTAAAAAGTTTTATTTTCTGTACATGAGGGACGGTTGGAGAGTTGTAAAAAGTTTTATTTTCTGTACAGGATTGACCATTGGAGTTTTAAAAAGTTTTATTTTCTAAACAGGAGTGACCACCTGAGAAACCACATCAAAAGCCACGACCTGATGGAGAATGATGAAGGCTACAAGTGTCCAGTTTGTCAACAAAATTACATGTCTGCCTCAGCGCTCACCAACCACCTGAAGACACATGTAAGTGATTACATTTTTTTAAGAGTAGTGTCATTGAGATTTACATAAGTTTGTTTAAATATTTTTGCTTATGATAAATCACTTGTTATTTTGTTTTTTAATTGTAAACTTTATTTCAGAATTTTATTGTACAAAAATAATTAAAATAATTGTAATCTAAAATATACAGTTTTAGCTAAACACAATTAGAAAAATCAGGCTAAAAACATTAATACTGTGTTTGAACAAAAATATAAATATTGTGTTTAAACACAGAAAGATAAGTATTGTGTTTAAACACAGAAAATAAATATTGTGTTTGAACACAGAAAGATGACTATTGTGTTTAAACACATATAGATAACCATTGTGTTTAAACACAGAAAATAAATATTGTGTTTAAACACATATAGATAACTATTGTGTTTAAACACAGAAAGATAAGTATTGTGTTTAAACACAGAAAGATAAGTATTGTGTTTAAACACAGAAAGATAAGTATTGTGTTTATACACAGAAAGATAAGTATTGTGTTTAAACACAGAAAGATAAGTATTGTGTTTAAACACAGAAAGATAAGTATTGTGTTTAAACACAGAAATATAAGTATTGTGTTTAAACACAGAAATATAAGTATTGTTTAAACACAGAAATATAAGTATTGTGTTTAAACACATATAGACAACTATTGTGTTTAAACACATAAAGATAAGTATTGTGTTTATACACAGAAAGATAACTATTGTGTTTAAACACAGAAAGATAAGTATTGTGTTTATACACAGAAAGATAAGTATTGTGTTTATACACAGAAAGATAACTATTGTGTTTAAACACAGAAAGATAAGTATTGTGTTTAAACACAGAAAGATAAGTATTGTGTTTAAACACAGAAAGATAAGTATTGTGTTTAAACACAGAAAGATAAGTATTGTGTTTAAACACAGAAAGATAAGTATTGTGTTTAAACACAGAAAGATAAGTATTGTGTTTAAACACAGAAAGATAAGTATTGTGTTTAAACACAGAAACACAAGTACCCAAGCCCAGAGGTGAGTGAGCCGCATGTGTGCAGTGAGTGCAGCCAGACCTTCAGCAAGAACGAGGACCTTCAGGACCACCTGCTCACACACACCACACCGGTCAGCATCAAGATGGAAAAATTTATTTGTGATATTTGTCAGGAGATTTTTTTCACACAGGTGAGTTGGCAATACCATTTTATCTAGATTATAACTGGACACTTTACTACTGATGTAGGTTGAAGACAGCAATACAGTTTTATCTAGATTATAAGAAATTAGGCAGACTTAACTGGATACTTTACAACTGATGTGTTTCAGGGTCATCTGAATGGCCACCATGAGCAATGCCACAGTCTAGAGCTGGACATGAAGTGTCCAGTCTGTTTTCTCAGCTTCTCCGACATGAACCAGGTGTGTCAGCACCTCATGACCCACAGCTCTACGGGGGGTCAAGCCGAGGGGGAGGACACCAGCGACTCTGGCATCATGAGAGGTCTCCTGATGGACAAAAGCCCAAACAACAATGGTAGGCCTGTCATCCTTCATACAGCAATAGTAGGTCTGTCATCCTTCATACAGCAATAGTAGGTCTGTCATCCTTCATACAGCAATAGTAGGTCTGTCATCCTTCATACAGCAATAGTAGGTCTGTCATCATTCATACAGCAATAGTAGGTCTGTCATCCTTCATACAGCAATAGTAGGTCTGTCATCCTTCATACAGCAATAGTAGGTCTGTCATCCTTCATACAGCAATAGTAGGTCTGTCATCCTTCATACAGCAATAGTAGGTCTGTCATCCTTCATACAGCAATAGTAGATCTGTCATCCTTCATACAGCAATAGTAGATCTGTCATCCTTCATACAGCAATAGTAGGTCTGTCATCCTTCATACAGCAATAGTAGGTCTGTCATCCTTCATACAGCAATAGTAGGTCTGTCATCATTCATACAGCAATAGTAGGTCTGTCATCATTCATACAGCAATAGTAGGTCTGTCATCCTTCATACAGCAATAGTAGGTCTGTCATCCTTCATACAGCAATAGTAGGTCTGTCATCCTTCATACAGCAATAGTAGATCTGTCATCCTTCATACAGCAATAGTAGGTCTGTCATCCTTCATACAGCAATAGTAGGTCTGTCATCCTTCATACAGCAATAGTAGGTCTGTCATCATTCATACAGCAATAGTAGGTCTGTCATCATTCATACAGCAATAGTAGGTCTGTCATCCTTCATACAGCAATAGTAGGTCTGTCATCCTTCATACAGCAATAGTAGGTCTGTCATCCTTCATACAGCAATAGTAGGTCTGTCATCCTTCATACAGCAATAGTAGGTCTGTCATCATTCATACAGCAATAGTAGGTCTGTCATCCTTCATACAGCAATAGTAGGTCTGTCATCCTTCATACAGCAATAGTAGGTCTGTCATCCTTCATACAGCAATAGTAGGTCTGTCATCCTTCATACAGCAATAGTAGGTCTGTCATCCTTCATACAGCAATAGTAGATCTGTCATCCTTCATACAGCAATAGTAGATCTGTCATCCTTCATACAGCAATAGTAGGTCTGTCATCCTTCATACAGCAATAGTAGGTCTGTCATCCTTCATACAGCAATAGTAGGTCTGTCATCATTCATACAGCAATAGTAGGTCTGTCATCATTCATACAGCAATAGTAGGTCTGTCATCCTTCATACAGCAATAGTAGGTCTGTCATCCTTCATACAGCAATAGTAGGTCTGTCATCCTTCATACAGCAATAGTAGGTCTGTCATCCTTCATACAGCAATAGTAGGTCTGTCATCATTCATACAGCAATAGTAGGTCTGTCATCCTTCATACAGCAATAGTAGGTCTGTCATCCTTCATACAGCAATAGTAGGTCTGTCATCCTTCATACAGCAATAGTAGGTCTGTCATCCTTCATACAGCAATAGTAGGTCTGTCATCCTTCATACAGCAATAGTAGATCTGTCATCCTTCATACAGCAATAGTAGATCTGTCATCCTTCATACAGCAATAGTAGGTCTGTCATCCTTCATACAGCAATAGTAGGTCTGTCATCCTTCATACAGCAATAGTAGGTCTGTCATCCTTCATACAGCAATAGTAGATCTGTCAACCTTCATACAGCAATAGTAGATCTGTCAACCTTCATACAGCAATAGTAGATCTGTCATCCTTCATACAGCAATAGTAGGTCTGTCAACCTTCATACAGCAATAGTAGGTCTGTCAACCTTCATACAGCAATAGTAGGTCTGTCATCCTTCATACAGCAATAGTAGATCTGTCATCCTTCATACAGATTCTAATCTTAGAGTTCACTCCTATAGATCCAGATTCTAATCTTTCATTCTTGAAAAGCAAAAACAAAATTCCTTCAGATCCATTAATTATGCCTTTTTGTGTACAACAGCATATCTAAATGTTCCCCAAGTTGTAAAACCTAATGCCGTGATTGTTGCAGACAGCTCCGCAGTGACTGAGCCCAACCGTCCCATGACCCTCCCCACTGTCAGCTCCACTACATCCCCAGGTGTCAGCACTGGTGTTGTGGACGTGCTGGTGTGCCCCTACTGTCTGACCGATGGATTTGAGACACTGGAGAGCCTTGAGCTGCACATGACTAGTGTCCACAGTGTCAAACCTACAGAGGTGTACACATGCAACTACTGTAACGCACCATATCCAAACCTCTACAGGTAGTCTTAACATCATCTTTCTGTCATCCTACACGTGCAACTATTGTAACGCACCATATCCAAACCTCTACAGGTAGTCTTAACATCATCTTTCTGTCATCCTACACGTGCAACTATTGTAACGCACCATATCCAAACCTCTACAGGTAGTCTTAACATCATCTTTCTGTCATCCTACACGTGCATCTATTGTAACGCACCATATCCAAACCTCTACAGGTAGTCTTAACATCATCTTTCTGTCATCCTACACGTGCATCTATTGTAACGCACCATATCCAAACCTCTACAGGTAGTCTTAACCCTTTGAGCCCTGGCCTCCCTGACCTAATTTCTCCAATTTCCTGAGCTCCCAGGCCCAAACCGATTTTCACTTATCTGCTTCTAACTTTGCCTATAACTTTTGAACCGTTTGAGATAATTAAGCCAAATTTGGTATCCAGACTCAGGATCAAACAACAATGCAGCAAGATTCTGAAATTCTTAATTTTTTTTTACAATGTTTGAATAGAACTATGTATATAAAACGAACACATCATTATTGTTTTGATAGAACATAGAAGAAACCAATTTACAATTAGTAATTGTTTTGTTATTATTGATACAAGTTCAACGCAGTTATCACTGCCGGACCCGATGCAAAGAAAAAATTCGCATGTTTTGCACCAGTAAACATTTTTTTTTGTTTCGGCAAGTCTTTGTCCTTGACACCACGCGCATCAGAACGTACTTGAACAGTTTCATTATCACTGTCAATTTCAATGTCACTGTGTTCAGTCTCAAATTCAACGTCACTATCATCACAATATAGACAAGGGATATTATCTTCTTCATCAGAATCAATAAGTGGTTGTATTGCCTGAGATGCAGTCATTCTACTTCTTTTGTTGATATTTCGGTCTTTTGCTTCATCTTTTGCACCAACTTTATGTGATGAAGTCGACGGCTGTGGCTCAGCTTTTCGTTTCGGCGGCATTGCTACGAAATGTAAACACTTTTACTTTCACTTTTCCAAAAAATCAATTTTAAAATCATAATCCTGCACTCAAAAGACATATGCGCAGTTTTAGGCAGTCTTCCGCTAATTATATTTAATTAGACGATATACCGGCCGCTAGGAATATGACGCTAGATCGGACATATATGCCTAATGTTGAAGCCGGTTTACCGGCCTGGCGGGCTCAAAGGGTTAACATCATCTTTCTGTATTCCTACTCGTGCATTGTAAAGCACCATATCCAAACCTCTACAGGTAGTCTTAACTTCATCTTCATTCTTTCTGTCTTAACAACATCTTCATTCTTTCTGTCTTAACATCTTCATTCTTTGTCTTAACATCATCTTCATTCTTTGTCTTAACATCATCTTCATTCTTTGTCTTAACATCTTCATTCTTTGTCTTAACATCATCTTCATTCTTTGTCTTAACATCATCTTCATTCTTTGTCTTAACATCATCTTCATTCTTTGTCTTAACATCATCTTCATTCTTTGTCTTAACATCATCTTCATTCTTTGTCTTAACATCATCTTCATTCTTTGTCTTAACATCATCTTCATTCTTTGTCTTAACATCACATTCATTCTTTGTCTTAACGCAAAAAATATACTTCTAATTTTAGCAAACGTTAAAGCATGGTAAAATAGGAGCTTTATTTCAAGAAAGTAAAATTGCCATTTATGTTTTCCCTATTAAAAAATAATGTGATTGAATTTGAGCATATTTCATGCTGATATCGTTAGTAAACACAATCACTTGACTATCACATGGTTTAATCCATGCATGCCTCATATTTGTATCTGTAGTAAACACAATCACTTGACCATCACATGGTTTAATCCATGCATGCTTCATATTTGTATCTGCAGTTTACATGATCACATGACCGTGGTCCATCGCAGCCAGCACGGCCTAGATATCACCTACCCTTGCAGTATGTGTGTGCAGAGGTTCCACAGCCTGGACGCGCTGGCCAAACACAAGGGCATTGTACACGCACAGCAACGCTCCACTGGCATTGATGCAGCTTTTTGTAACAGGTGAACACCTCGGTTAGGGGTTGAACTCGTGACCTGGCTAGGGGTCAATGGGGGGGGGGGGTTGAACTGGTGACACAGTGACCTGGCTAGGGGTCAATGGGGGGGTTGAACTGGTGACACGGTGACCTAGCTAGGGGTCAGTGGTGGGGTGGGGGGTTGAACTGGTGACACAGTGACCTGGCTAGGGGTCAGTGGTGGGGTGGGGGTTGAACTGGTGACACAGTGACCTGGCTAGGGGTCAGGGGAGATGAATTTCAGACACTTTGATGGGCACTGGGTGCAGCAGTGTCAACAAATCAAAATTTCCCAATTAGAAATTGAATTCAAATTTTGAATTAATTTTAAAAATAAATGTTGTGCTTTTAATATACCAGTACACTGTATTAACAATTTGAACATGTTAGTGCACTGTTAACAATTTAAACATGTTAGTGCACTATTACAATTTGAACATACTAGTGCACTGTTCACACTTTGAAGATGTTAGTGCTACATTACAGATGCAACATGACCCTGGCAAGTCCAAGTTCCCTTGAAGACCACATGGCCAATGTACATAATATAATCATGGATAAAGGCCACAAGCTAGTCAGGTCAAAAAATAAAAAATCTGGATTGAAAGCAAACAAGGAAAAGGACCAAAAATCTTCTGGACTTATCAACACATCTAAAGCTGGACAAAACAGTCAGATGACAACAGATACCATTTTATCTTCTTCATTGCTGATGTCATCCATGTTAAATCAAGAAGGGCAGATCACTCCTAAATCTAGCAAAACTCAGCTTGTGAGGAAACCAGTCCAAGAAAGTTTATATACAAATCAGAGTATGAAACCTTCACATTTCTTATACTATTCATAAGCATTCAAACTCTTTAATTCTAAAATGTTTTAGGAAACTTGTTACTTTCCAAAAAAGTTTATTATAAAAAATTGTCTTGGTTAAAACTTTCAGGGCTGTTGTCTGCAAGTCTAACATGCGACCAGTGTAACGCAACCTTCCATGATGCCCAGAACTTTATTGCTCACATGAAACTGCACTCGGAGAGTCTCCTCAACATGGCCTTAGGCCGCGCTTCAAACAGTGAAAAAAAATACAGGGACACAGGAGATAGTGAAATCAGGGGAAATAACCTCTCAAATCAAAGTAATTCTTATCCTTAATTAATTATAATTACACTAATGAAGCAGCAATAAATTGTTTGCTTAAAGAATCTCAAATTTTGTATCCATTGTTGACCTTTTTAAAACCAGTTTGACTGTAACCTTGACCGTAGCTATTTTAAACCAGTTTGACTGTAACCTTTACTTTAGCTATGTTAAACCAGTTACTGTACCCATGTTTTGATTTGCCCAGACCTGCCGGGCCCAGCGAAACAACACGACTGTTTCAAGTGTGGTGCCAGCTTCAGCAGTGAGGAGCACCTGGAGGCCCACGCCTCCCTGCACTACCTGTGTGTCAGCACGGAGTACGGCTGCAGCAGCTGCGCCAAAAACTTCTCCAAGCCTGACGAGCTACAGAAGCACCTCATGGACATCCACGCCCACCACCTGTACCGCTGCTCTCTGTGCAAGGACATTTTTGATTCCAAGGTCAACATACAGGTAAATTCATGGTTGCCAGGTGCTCACAATTCTTGGCTGCCAGGTGCTCACAATTTTTAGAATAATTTGATTCTAATAAAATGTTGATTTATAGAATTTAATGATATCTGTAATGTCTTGTAACTAGTCAAAATGAAATTTAGATGGATAGAATTTACAAATATTTGTAATGTTTGTTGACCATACAATATGAAGTATTTCTAACCTCTTGCGAGCAGGTTCACTTTGCCATCAAACACAGCAACGAGTGCAAGCAATACAAATGTGTGTCATGTGACATCATGTTCAGGTCAGAGATGGAGTGGCAAGTTCATGTCAGGGTCAACCATCTCCACATGTCAAGGCCGTACCGCTGTTTGTTTTGCCAGGAGTCGTTCACAAGCGAGGTTCTATTTTGTTGTTGCCTATCAGTAAAGTAAACTAGAGCTAGATACCCAAGTTTACAGACTCAGTACAGCACATTTTTTTGTTGAACCAGGTTGAACTTCAGTGCCACCTGACCACACACAGCAAACAGTTCAACTGCCCCATGTGTGACCAGGCATTCCATATTGAATATTTGCTGGACCAGCACATGCAGACTAGACATGGGGACACCAAGCCTGAACTAGGGGAGGTAAGTCTTGAATATTGGCTGGGACACCAAGCCTGAACTAGGGGAGGTAAGTCTTGAATATTTGCTGGGACACCAAGCCTGAACTAGGGGAGGTAAGTCTTGAATATTTGCTGGGACACCAAGCCTGAACTAAGGGAGGTAAGTCTTGAATATTTGCTGGGACACCAAGCCTGAACTAGGGGAGGTAAGTCTTGAATATTTGCTGGGACACCAAGCCTGAACTAGGGGAGGTAAGTCTTGAATATTTGCTGGGACACCAAGCCTGAACTAGGGGAAGTAAGTCGTTTATGCAGACTTGATGTAGGAGAAATAAGACAAGTTTGAACTAGGGGAGGTAAGTCATTAGACCTATTGTAATGGCAGTAAGTAATTAGACCTGCTGAATGGTCAGTAATACAAGCCTGATCTAGAGGAGGTAAGACATGATGCTACCAATCTAGTGGTGGTGGTTGAATTTGTGTGGTGTTACCTGTATAGTTGAAATGGATAGTCTAGACCATTGGTTCGCAACCTTTTTTAGGTACAGAACCTCTCTAAAAAACTACCATTGGTTACACTTGTATTTGCCCTAACATTTCTATGTTGTTTATTTAATGTTTGTGTCAGGGGTCGGCGTGGTCGAGTCGGTAAAGCTCATGGTTGCTAAACCGAAAAATCTCGAGTTCGAACCCTCGGGCAGATGAGGCTCGTTAGCTGGGGACAGCCACTCTTCTAGGAGAGACAACTCCAAAATTAAACAACTGCTGCCTTGTAGTTTGTTCTTGGTTGGACAAAGGCTATGGAAGCAAATCCAAAAAGAAAAGCAGGCTGAAATCGGAGTCAATGGCCTCAATGGCGCATAACCAGTTGACACGTAAGGCTTAATTGTGTTGGATGCGTGGTCGAGTCGGCAAAAAGCTCATGGTTGATAAATTCGAACAAAGTCTCGAGTTCAAACCCACTGGCAGATAAATCTCGATCCCATTCAACACTAATAATTAAGAACAAAGAAGAAGAAGAAGAATGTTTGTGTTTTTTTCCCTAGAAAAGCTCCACAAATTCACTCAAGTCTCCACTTCAGTCAAGTTCCTCGTCCCCATTCAAAAGTCTAACCATCAAGCAAGAAAAAGAAGAGACAACCAACCCGTTTGCCAACCCCATCCTGTCATCGCTGTCATCCTCTACTGCATCCTCCTCCTCCTCTTGCTCGCCTCGCATCATCCTCAAGTCACCAGTTGCCCCCTCCCCCATGAAGCAGCCCCGCCTGACCAGTCCACTGACCCCCTCCATCTCCCCCGCCCCTGTGGTCTCATCACTGGGGACGCCATCATCCACCATCTGGAAGAACACGGAGCCCCTGCACATGTGTAACATCTGCGACATCAAGTTCTGTGACCTGGCTCTGCTCAACCTGCACAAGGCACAGGACCACGGGCTGAAGGCAGCGCTCAAATCTGGCCTGCCTGACCTCTCACTCAAGGTAGGACATTGTGTCAGACCTGCCCTTAAGGATATTCTATCAGATCTTACACTTAATCCATGATATAGACAACAACCAATTACTTTGTTCCAAAGTTTTTGTATTGAATCTTTAAAAAAAAAGTTGTTTTTATCTTATTTTGAGATTTCATTTTTCTGTAGCTAATCAAAAGTTTGTATTGTTTCAGACAGAGCATGACAAATTGCTCCTGAACAACCAGACTCTGTTGTCTGCGCTAACGAGCCCCGCCTCCCCTGTGACCCTGGCCCAGTCCCCCCTGCACCAGCCCCAGCTCTCCTGCATGTTCTGCAGTCAGACCTTCAAGACCAGCATCGAGTACAACAAGCACATGAAGATCCACGTCAACTCAGGCAACCTGACCTGTAGCATCTGTGATGAAACTTTCACATCTGCCAGCGTTTTGGCTGAGCACAAGTTGACACACTGCAAGATCCAGCAGGGCAACACGTGTGTAGTGTGTAGAGTCACGCTGAATAATCAAGAACAGTTCTACTTACACGCACAGGAACACGGATTTGAAGGGTCCTTGCTGCAGTGTGTTGTTTGTCGACAGGTGAATTGATGTTTTATTTCACTTCATCGCACACAGGAATCTTTTTTATTGTCAAATTATTCTGTGCAGTATCAAGTTATCTAGTGGAAGGTTACATAATTCTATTCAAGATAATGTTTTGAATTTTTAGAAGTATTTAAAATATTGTTTCTTTAGTTTTGTCTCACTTTTTCCTGTTTTTTGACTGCTAGACACTGTCATCACTTGTGGAGCTGCAGATGCATGGCAGACATCACTTCCAAACCAGGCCAGCATTTTTCACCTGCTGTGTGTGTCTGAAAAGTTTTGAGTCCAAGGAAAACTTGGTCTCCAAGCTCAACTCCAGTGGACGGACGTATTACGTGTGCAAGCCTTGTTACCATGGTGAAGCCCCACTACACACCTGCTCGCAGTGTAGCGAGAAGTTTGCCACAGCCCAGCTTCTGGAGACCCACATGCAGACCCACAAGGTCAGGCAAGCTTACATACAAGTTTACATACAAGCTTACATACCTCATTATAAAGTACTTGCAAACTTGTACACAAGCTTACATAAATCATAGAAAAATATTTTGTCCATGTCACACTTACTTTTGTCTGAAGTTTTTTGTATGAAAACCCACATAAAATTTATTCTGATTCTCTAAAGCTTTGTCTAAAGTTTGTTGTGTGAAAGCCCACATATAAAATTTATTCTGATTCTCAAAAGCTTTGTCTAAAGTTTGTTGTGTGAAAGCCCACATAAAATTTATTCTGATTCTCTAAAGCTTGGTCTAAAGTCTAAAGTTTGTTGTGTGAAAGCCCACACATAAAATTTATTCTGATTCTCAAAAGCTTGGTCTAAAGTCTAAAGTTTGTTGTGTGAAAGCCCACATAAAATTTATTCTGATTCTCAAAAGCTTTGTCTAAAGTTTGTTGTGTGAAAGCCCACATAAAATTTATTCTGACTCTCAAAAGCTTTGTCTAAAGTCGAAAGTTTGTTGTGTGAAAGCCCACATATAGAACTTATTCTGATTCTCTAAAGCTTTGTCTAAAGCCTAAAGTTTGTTGTATAAAAGCCCACATATAGAACTTATTCTGATTCTCTAAAGCTTTGTCTAAAGTTTGTTGTATGAAAGCCCACATATAAAATTTATTCTGATTCTCAAAAGCTTTGTCTAAAGTCTAAAGTTTGTTGTGTGAAAGCCCACATAAAATTTATTCTGGTCCTCAAAAGCTTTGTCTAAAGTTTGTTGTGTGAAAGCCCACATATAAAATTTATTCTGATTCTCAAAAGCTTTGTCTAAAGTCTAAAGTTTGTTGTATAAAAGCCCACATAAAATTTATTCTGGTCCTCAAAAGCTTTGTCTAAAGTCTAAAGTTTGTTGTATAAAAGCCCACATATAGAACTTATTCTGATTCTCTAAAGTTTTGTCTTAAGTCTAAAGTTTGTTGTGTGAAAGTCCACACATAAAATTTATTCTGATTCTCTAAAGCTTTGTCTAAAGTTTGTTGTATGAAAGCCCACATAAAATTTATTCTGATTCTCTAAAGCTTTGTCTAAAGTTTGTTGTGTACATCTCCAACAGGCAACGTTCCAGTGCATCAAGTGCCAGCAGTCATTCTCCTCAGAGTACGAGATCCAGCTACACGTCACCTCGCACATGTTGAATGAAGGAACCCAGCACGAGTGCAGGCTGTGTGGGGTTGTGTGTGACTCACCCGCACGGCTGCAGACACATCTCATACAGCACAGTTTTGCTGGGAAAGAGATTGTCTGCTTCGTGTGCAATAAAGTTTTTGAATCGCCCCAAGAAATTCAGGTCCACGCCTTGGAGCACGGCGCATCTTTTAGAAAATATGGCTGCCCTCAGTGCTCACAGAAGTTTTTCTTCACAGCTGAACTAGACAACCACAAGCTGATCTACAGCCACGGGATGGTGTCCCCCTCCATCAACACACCATCACTGTCACCCTCATCCTCCGCGTTGTTCTCTTCATCTGCTGCTCTATCTATGGCAACTCTTGCATCATTTTTGTCCACATCACCACTGATGAAACCACAGGACGTGACCTCCTCACCTTTAGCGCTAGCCAACAAAAAACTTTATGAAAACTTTTCACTGCCATCCTTGACCTCTGGGTATGAATTGCCCAGTTGCTCTGGGTCAGCAGTCAAAGGTCAGGAGACTCTGACAGTTCCCAGTGTACCCTCATCGTCCACCACGGCCAATGGCCTTCAGTGTCCAGAGTGCTTGAAATATTTCTCCACTGGCACTGCTCTGGCCAACCACAGGAAAACACACTGGAAGAAAGATGCCACCAGCTCAATCAGGTTGGTTTCCTTCAAGCTAGCAGACTATTGCTTTTTAGTAAATTTGGTGCACTTTAAAGTTTCTAGATGCAAGTTACCATTGGTCCAGTTGAAAGTCTCAATTGGTCTAAATGAAAAGTTAAGTTTATCATTTAAAAGATGAGCTGAATATTTATCCAACATAACCTTGACCTTGCATCTAACCTCTGACCTAACCCCCAGATGTTCCCTGTGCTCCCAAGTCTTTGACTCAGCCACAAGCATGCAGCAGCACTTCTTCACAGTCCACTCCACCAGAGAGGAGGAGCAGAGAAAAAAGAAGAGCTTCAAGTGCATGATGTGTGAGAAAGAGTGCTCTACCCTGAGTGCCCTACAAAACCACATTTTGTCTCACAGAACAGGTAGCTAGTTCACATTTTTTATTTTAGACATTGTATCAGGTAGCAACAAGCTGGTTCACATTTTTTATTTTAGACATTGTATCAGGTAGCAACAAGCTGGTTCACATTTTTTATTTTAGACATTATATCAGGTAGCAACAAGCTGGTTCACATTTTTTATTTTAGACATTGTATCAGGTAGCAACAAACTAGTTCACATTTTAAGTTAAAAAATTGTATCAAACACTTTAATGTGGAACATGTATGTTCTATATTTAAATGTTTTGTTCTGTTTTAGGCAAAGCTAAATATATAATTTTACATTTTTAAAATAACTTTTAGGCAGTTCTCTCCCCTGCCCTGTCTGCAAGAAAACCTTCACATCCCAGAGGTATTTAAATCTTCACATGAGGGTGCACAAGTTAACTGACAATAAAACACAAGGTAAATAAATCAGATACAAGATACACCCCACTAAACACATATATTATCAAAACTGTTTAAAAAGGTATACTTTGATTATAATAGGCTATTTCACGCCATAGGCATTTCATCTTACCATTTTAAACCGAGATGGAAAAGTATATTTGTCATATTTTTACCATTACTACTTCCAATTGTGAATGTTTTAGAACCATCAACAAGTGCCCAGAGTCCAGTAGATTCAGAAGATCAGACAGACACAAAAGAAAATTCTTCCTCAGACTTGCTGTGCCCTATATGTAGTCAAAGTTTTATATCAACCCAGGAAATAGATAATCATATCAAGACTCATGAGGTGTGGTTTTTTCTAAACTTTCAGGTTATATATTATTTTATATATATATATAATGTATATATGTATATATATATATATGTATGTATATATATATATATATATATATATGTATATATATATATATATATATATATATATATATATATATATATATATATATATATATATATATATATATATATACATATTAAATATATATATATATATATATATATATATATATATATATATATATATATATATATATATATATATATATATATATAAATATATAAATATATATATATATATATATAAATTTGTATTGATGTAATAAATTCTCACACATTGCAATAAATATTTTGTCTAATTTTAAAGGAGGTATTCACTACCCTGGGTAATGCACACGAAGCTATGGACTTCTCTGAGCCAGGAGTGGATGAAAGTGATCGCACTTTAATGGAGGTAGAGGACAGATGATGCAAGTTTTACTTTTAAACAAGTTAAATAGTGAATTGAACTGATGATATTATTTAAATGCAAGTTTCAACTTTTGAGAAGCTTCTTACATAGATGTCACACACATTTTTATTTTTGTTGAGTTAATAAATTAAGCATTTTTTATCTGATGTAAAGTAAAACCTGTATTTAGATCTTACATGAAATTAATTGGTGTATGTTATAGCATTTGTTGGAGTTTTAAATAAATTTGTGATGTAATAAAAAGATCTCTTCAAACATTTGTTGGAATTAAAAGTAAAAAGTTGGTGTTAACATTAATACAAATATATTTTAATTTAAGCTTGTTATTAAAAAGGTTATTTTTAGAGTTCATATTACACTTGCTAGCATTTAACCATTTTAAAATGGGAAATAAGCATTTCACTTTTAATAGCAATAACTCTTAAGTCAACCCATCCTTACTAAAACTATCTGTAAACCTGATCCAAAAAGAAATTTAATATATTGCTGGAATAGTTTGTTGACTAGAAAGTGAATGCTGCTCTTCTGAACAGAATTACTTACAAGTATTATTTCCCTTTCATGATTGTGAACAACCATAAAAACACCAGCCCACAAAACCCATCACCAGTTATACCCCTTGAAATTACATTAAACTCATTCTTGATGATTAATTCGATATCTAATTAAACTGAAATTTAGATTTACTTCTATTATAATCAAAAATGTAAATGCAAAGTTAAAAAGTAATTTTCCTGTGGGAATTGGGGCCAAAATAGAACTATAAAATTTGAAAATAGCCCACCCCAAAAACACACCCTTGTGACTTCATGCGAAACCGTTTGTTAGGTGTTTAAAGCTAAACATTTGACGAGTGTTTAAAGCTAAACATTTAATGAGTGTTTAAAGCTAAACATTTGTCCAATATTGATGTACAAAGACACATTTGGCGATTGAATCTTTTATTTTCAAAAGCACTCCAGGTCTTCAGTACAAAAATGGAAAGAAATTGTTCACAACACCTGGCATGTTCTTTTTGAGACATTCAAATTGTGAATGACAAAATGTGACATTCTAGAAAATGACAAATATGATGTAATAAATAAGATAATTTAAATCATGACAAGTGTATATGGTTTTATTAATAAATAAATTTGACAAATATTCTTGATTGTTATAACATTTCAATGTCAGTCAAGGTACATAAAGATGATGAGGCAAGAATTCTTTTATTTGCGATATTTACATAAAATTATGTTTTCAAGTTTTCTACTGAATGAAAAGTTTCTGATTCCACATGCACATCAGATGTCAACCACTGTCAGCTGATATTAACAAGGCACTCCAGAGCTGACCTCTATTGTCTAGTGTATGTAGGATTGGTGGAAGATTTGGGGAAGAAGAAAAATGTTTAAGATTAACATCAGCGGTATTCAAACAAATGTCTGTGCTCTGGTCTTTTTCAGATAGTCCTCCCAAACAGACATGAGAGGAAATGTTTTGTTTTGAATCTGTTTCAACAGCTAAAGTTTATTCACAAAGGAATAAATGGAGCATGTGACATTATCACTAGGCTTAATGTTGTACAACTCTTCTTTCTTTGTTAAAATAAATTTTGCTTGAACTGTGTGGAAGACATCAGGAAATACACATATCAGTGTGACTTTATTTTAAACCTCAGGTTCACAGTCTCAGACTTTAAACCTCAGGTTCACAATCTAAATCACCATCACCTCCCTGCCAAAAACTGGTTCATTTTTCAATGATAAAAAAAAGAAAATTTAAAAATGATTGGAAGGTTAAAAATCTAAAGAAAAAAATAATTTTTAAAAATACTCAACAGATGTGTTAAAAAGTTAATTAAAAAAATACATTATTCAGCACAAGGTTTGTAAGGCACTGAGCTCTTGATGGGAAGTAAATACATCAATGTTTGAGATAACTCGTAATGTTAGACGACTTGTATCTCCTGAGCTGTAACAGAATGACAAAAACATTAAACAAAAGAAACTTGTTACAGGTTTAAAATTGTCGACACAAAGCTCTATTTTTACATAGACCAATGTGCCTTGTTACTTTTGATATGCTGATGTTAATACTTTTTTAATTTGTCCAGAAAAAATAATGCCAGCTACTAAATACAGCAGCCTGTGATAAAGGAATTTCACATTTAATTATCATGAATATAATTTTGCACAGAAACAAATAGAACATTTTTAAAAATATGCTATTTGAAACATGCAAACCCTAAACAAACATACAAACTCTAAACAAACATACAAATGCTAAACAAACATTGAAAACAAACATTGAAAACAAACATTGAAAACAAACATTCAAACTAAAGACTTGAAAGCCTATTGCTATCATGTGTAAAAACTATTTTTTTCTGTTACATTTTTTTCATTTTTAATCTTAGACTTAGTGAAAAAAAGTTTCCCACATTTTTCATTATTGCTAATTTATTATTGTGTGAGGATAAAATAGTTTGCAAAAAAAAAAAAAAAAAAATAATTTTTAAGGTTTTAAATTCAGTTTTACAAACATAACAAAAATATGACTCTCATTCTAATGACATGACATGTTTTCACACTGTGACAGATGAGCCCCAGCAGTCATGTTCTCACACTGTGACAGATGAGCCCCATCAGTCATGTTTTCACACTGTGACAGACATGCCCCATCAGTCATGTTCTCACAGTGACAGATGAGCCGCATCAGTCATGTTCTCACAGTGACAGATGAGCCCCATCAGTCATGTTCTCACATTGACAGACATGACCCATCAGTCATCAGCATTGAGCAGCTTCCTGGTTGGCTCAGTGCCATCACTCATGTCTATCTCAAAGTCGTTGTCCTCCTCCTTGTCTGGCGCCTTGTTGTAGAACTTCTTGCCGTAGTTGATGTCCATCTGCTCCCACCTGCGGGTCACCTTGCTCCTCCGCTTGCACTTCCTGACAGAGATGAAGACAATGAGCAGGATCAGGCCAACAAAAGCACAGCTGGCGCCGATGATGATCCTGTTCCTGTTGTCTCCCTCTAGCAGCTCAGCTATTTTAGACTTGTGGCCGGGGTTGTCTTCCACGTTCAGGTTTCCTGACAACATCACAATTTACATGGGATATGGTTGGGTGGTAAATACTTTAAGGACAATTTACATGGGTTATGGTTGGATGGTAAATACTTTGTTAAGGACATTTTCCATGGGATATGGTTGGATGGTAAATACTTTATTAAGGACAATTTATATGGGATATGGTTGGATGGTAAATACTTTAAGGATATTTTACATGGGATATGGTTGGATGGTAAATAATTTCAGGACAATGTACATGGGGTATGGTTGGATGGTAACATTTTAAGAGGGTAGGCCTATATTTCTTAAATTAGCAATTTTAAAATGCTATATATGAAAATATAAACCCCTCCTTATTTTAAATTTAAACATGTATTTGGTAGTTACATTGTTTGATAGTTTTTAATTCCAGACAAAATTTTGGTTAGTTTTCTTAGACACATTTTAATTTTGATGATGTCGCATCAGTGATGTTATGTCACATTCGTGATGTTATGACACATCACTTGTGCCAAGTCACATCTCTACTGTCATTTCATAACATTGTGATGTCAGATCATTGATGACATGTTGCATTTCTGGTGTCATATCATATCACTGGTATTATATTACCCAATGAATGGTGTCATGTCAGATGAATGGTGTCATGTCAGATGAATGGTGTCATGTCAGATGAATGGTGTCATGTCAGATGAATGGTGTCATGTCAGATGAATGGTGTCATGTCAGATGAATGGTGTCATGTCAGATGAATGGTGTCATGTCAGATGAATGGTGTCATGAGTAAGAGAAACTAAAAACTGACCTGGTTGGCCACCGCTAGCTGCTATGTTTTTGTCAATCTCTGCCGAGATGTTGGGAGACAAAGTTTCTGTTTTAAACTGGCCGTGCTTCTCCTGGCTGATTCTAAAGGAATCAATGACTGATCCATCCTTCATGCTGATCTGTTCGTAATCCACAATGCTGGCATTAAGAACTGTCAGCCGCCCAAAACTCAGGGAAGTGTCGTTTTCTTGACGGAAGGCTGACCAGACAGCTGGTAGAACAACAAATGGTCAATGGTTGGTCAGTTGGTGCACTGATTGGTCAATTGGTGCACTGATTGCTCAATTGGTGCACTGATTGGTCAATTGGTGCACTGAATTGTCGATTGGTGCACTGATTTGTAAATTTTTTCAGTTTTCTGAAATTGTTCACTGATTTGTGAATTTCTTCAATAATTTGCTATGGGTTTACTGTTTTGTTAATTGATTTACTGATGTTTGAATTAATTTACTAATTTGTGAATTATTTTCACTGATTTGTTGATGGGTTTGCTGATTTGTTATTTTTAAACAAATAAAAAATCAACCTAGTTTTAAAATTGCTATGGTAACAGAAAGCTTTGGATAAATTGGGTAGAAAAACAAAACTGAAGAGCTCACTTACGTGATGGTTCAGTAAAATTATATTTCACTTCATAAGGGCTGGCACCCCCATTGATAATATGGACTGGCCCTAGAGGGTTTGTGTAGTTTTCAGAGACCTGAACTCCCTTGAACATGGGATAGGTTCGTTCATATGAGCGGCCATATGACTGGATGATGATATCAACTCCATAGTGATAAAATATATCTTCTAGTCTGTAAAATAGTGGGGAAAATATTATTTACACTTCTCATAACAAAGGAAATGGTTTCAAGAATTTGTTTACAGTAAAATATTTCAGAAAATTGTATGTGCTTGATGTGATATTGGGTTGATCAAACCAAAAGTAGAACCAGTTTATTTTGTAAACAAATATAATTTGTTATATTTCCTGAGAGAAAGCTGGTCATGTGACCATTGATCCAAATGGCACCACTGATGTTGATGGGTTAACACATTGATGTTTTCCACATTGGTGTCAAAGTCCTTTAAATCATGGATGAACTTAAGTTAAGTTTGGTAAGTTACTTGCCCCTTTTTGAATTCAGAACTTTTTTTATTGCAGTCAAGACTAGGATCCTCGTAAGTGCAGTAAAATGGGCGGTGACCAAAGGCTACAATCCAAGGGACTTTACTCCTGTTCTGGTTGGCGGCAGTTAAATCTTTCATTAACCACTGTTTCTGCATGGGTGCGTACCGCGCATCTTTGGTGAAGTAAACTTCAGTAGAGTAGCTAGGGGAATAGATGGTACACAATATAGAATGGGAGGGGTAGAGATGGTAGTTCACATGATGGGACGGAGATGGTAGTTCACATGGGGGGACTGAGATGGTAGTTCACATGAAGGGACTGGAGATGGTAGTTCACATGATGGGACTGGAGATGGTAGTTGACATAATCAGATGGACCAGTCCATACCCTAATCTACCTGATCAGATGGACCAGTCCATACTGTAGCCTACCTGATCAGATGGACCAGTCCATACTGTAGCCTACCTGATCAGATGGACCAGTCCATACTGTAGCCTACCTGATCAGATGGACCAGTCCATACTGTAGCCTACCTGATCAGATGGACCAGTCCATACTGTAGCCTACCTGATCAGATGGACCAGTCCATACTGTAGCCTACCTGATCAGATGGACCAGTCCATACTGTAGCCTACCTGATCAGATGGACCAGTCCATACTGTAGCCTACCTGATCAGATGGACCAGTCCATACCGTAGCCTACCTGATCAGATGGACCAGTCCATACTGTAGCCTACCTGATCAGATGGACCAGTCCATACTGTAGCCTACCTGATCAGATGGACCAGTCCATACTGTAGCCTACCTGATCAGATGGACCAGTCCATACTGTAGCCTACCTGATCAGATGGACCAGTCCATACTGTAGCCTACCTGATCAGATGGACCAGTCCATACTGTAGCCTACCTGATCAGATGGACCAGTCCATACTGTAGCCTACCTGATCAGATGGACCAGTCCATACCGTAGCCTACCTGATCAGATGGACCAGTCCATACCGTAGCCTACCTGATCAGATGGACCAGTCCATACTGTAGCCTACCTGATCAGATGGACCAGTCCATACTGTAGCCTACCTGATCAGATGGACCAGTCCATACTGTAGCCTACCTGATCAGATGGACCAGTCCATACTGTAGCCTACCTGATCAGATGGACCAGTCCATACTGTAACCTACCTGATCAGATGGACCAGTCCATACCATAGCCTACCTGATCAGATGGACCAGTCCATACTGTAGCCTATCTGATCAGATGAAACAGTCCATACTGTAGCCTACCTGATCAGATGGACCAGTCCATACTGTAGCCTACCTGATCAGATGGACCAGTCCATACCCTAATCTACCTGATCAGATGGACCAGTCCATACTGTAGCCTACCTGATCAGATGGACCAGTCCATACCCTAATCTACCTGATCAGATGGACCAGTCCATACCATAACCTACCTGATCAGATGGACCAGTCCATACTGTAGCCTACCTGATCAGATGGACCAGTCCATACCCTAATCTACCTGATCAGATGGACCAGTCCATACCATAGCCTACCTGATCAGATGGACCAGTCCATACCCTAATCTACCTGATCAGATGGACCAGTCCATACTGTAGCCTACCTGATCAGATGGACCAGTCCATACTGTAGCCTACCTGATCAGATGGACCAGTCCATACTGTAGCCTACCTGATCAGATGGACCAGTCCATACCCTAATCTACCTGATCAGATGGACCAGTCCATACTGTAGCCTACCTGATCAGATGGACCAGTCCATACCATAGCCTACTTGATCAGATGGACCAGTCCATACCATAGCCTACCTGATCAGATGGACCAGTCCATACCATAGCCTACCTGATCAGATGGACCAGTCCATACTGTAGCCTACCTGATCAGATGGACCAGTCCATACTGTAGCCTACCTGATCAGATGGACCAGTCCATACTGTAGCCTACCTGATCAGATGGACCAGTCCATACTGTAGCCTACCTGATCAGATGGACCAGTCCATACTGTAGCCTACCTGATCAGATGGACCAGTCCATACTGTAGCCTACCTGATCAGATGGACCAGTCCATACTGTAGCCTACCTGATCAGATGGACCAGTCCATAATGTAGCCTACCTGATCAGATGGACCAGTCCATACTGTAACCTACCTGATCAGATGGACCAGTCCATACTGTAGCCTACCTGATCAGATGGACCAGTCCATACTGTAACCTACCTGATCAGATGGACCAGTCCATACCATAACCTACCTGATCAGATGGACCAGTCCATACTGTAGCCTACCTGATCAGATGGACCAGTCCATACTGTAACCTACCTGATCAGATGGACCAGTCCATACTGTAGCCTACCTGATCAGATGGACCAGTCCATACTGTAGCCTACCTGATCAGATGGACCAGTCCATACCGTAGCCTACCTGATCAGATGGACCAGTCCATACTGTAGCCTACCTGATCAGATGGACCAGTCCATACCGTAGCCTACCTGATCAGATGGACCAGTCCATACCATAGCCTACCTGATCAGATGGACCAGTCCATACTGTAGCCTACCTGATCAGATGGACCAGTCCATACCGTAGCCTACCTGATCAGATGGACCAGTCCATACTGTAGCCTACCTGATCAGATGGACCAGTCCATACTGTAGCCTACCTGATCAGATGGACCAGTCCATACTGTAGCCTACCTGATCAGATGGACCAGTCCATAATGTAGCCTACCTGATCAGATGGACCAGTCCATACTGTAACCTACCTGATCAGATGGACCAGTCCATACCGTAGCCTACCTGATCAGATGGACCAGTCCATACTGTAACCTACCTGATCAGATGGACCAGTCCATACCATAACCTACCTGATCAGATGGACCAGTCCATACTGTAGCCTACCTGATCAGATGGACCAGTCCATACTGTAACCTACCTGATCAGATGGACCAGTCCATACCATAGCCTACCTGATCAGATGGACCAGTCCATACTGTAGCCTACCTGATCAGATGGACCAGTCCATACCGTAGCCTACCTGATCAGATGGACCAGTCCATACTGTAGCCTACCTGATCAGATGGACCAGTCCATACCGTAGCCTACCTGATCAGATGGACCAGTCCATACTGTAATTTACCTGACCAGTCCATACCGTAGCCTACCTGATCAGATGGACCAGTCCATACTGTAATTTACCTGACCAGTCCATACCGTAGCCTACCTGATCAGATGGACGAGGCCGATGTCGATGCTGTACCACATCTTGTCAATGGGCGTCGGCCACTCCGTCTCTGGCAGTGAGAACCTGTGGGTGTACTGCGAGAAGTTGTCGTCCTCCACTTCTGCAAAGTTTTAAACGTCATTAACACAGACACAAGATTATCATCTAGACAACACCTCTAAACTTTGATTTGAGAATTAGCTCTAAGCTATATACAAGGAAACATTTTATTAGTACATCACAGTCCGTTCAATCAATTTGAAAAGCATTCGGCCAATGAAATTCAAGAAACATTACCATCTGGTCCTGGCGAGACCATGTAGGGGACTTTACTAATGGCTGGCTCCATGATCTGCATGAAGTTGTCTCCGTGCTACGTTAGGAGAAACACAGTTGTGGCAGTTAAAAACATGAACTGGCTGGTAGAAAACAATACGTTGTAGCTAAATAAAGAAGTTACCTTGCCGGAGTCTGTGCTCAAGTTCATTGCGATGTTTCCGGTGTGAAGAATAGCGGCAAACTTCCCAGCTTCGGACTCATGTGACAGAATAGGTATGGCTTCAGATGAGGCGTTTACATCACTAATTACAATAAACTTCATTTCGTCAGTCTAGTTGTGAAATAAAATATGCATAGTGATGGGAGGTAATATTAGCCATGTTGTGATATATATGTATGTATATAAATATATATATATAAATATATATAAATATCAATAAATAAATAAATATGTAGGCTATATATATATAGGTAGGCCTATATATATATATATATATATATATATATATATATATATATATATATATATATATATATATATATATATATATATATATATATATATATATATATATAGGGCCTATATATATATATATATATATATATATAGGGCCTATATATATATATATATATATAGGGCCTATATATATATATATATATATATATACACACCTTTTAAAGTAACAAAATTAAAAAAAAAAAAAACTCACTGGTTTGTTTGATGGGGTCTCAAAGAATAAAATACCAGTTGGTTCAATATTGTTACTTGATGGCTTGTAAAAGTAGGTTTTTCCTGGTGACAGGTACTGGGGGAGAATAAAGACTGGCTGGTTAGGTGATGGCTATTGAGACAACTAGAACAGGAGTTGGTTATTGAGACAACTAGAACAGGAGTTGGCTATTAGAAAACTAGAACATGAGTTGGCTATTGAGACAACTAGAACAGGAGTTGGCTATTGAGACAACTAGAACAGGAGTTGGCTATTGAGACAACTAGAACAGGAGTTGGCTATTGAGACAACTAGAACAGGAGTTGGCTATGGAAACAATTGTTGACAAAGAAGCTTTTTTTAATCTGTAATTTATAATGTTGACAAAATTAATATGCTATTCCATATCATTATTTCATTCAATGTTTACTCTATATGTGAGACCTTTCTAAATGTTATGTGACAGCTGTCATCAGATATTTGGCATGTGTCATGATGAGGAATGTATCCCATTATTATTTGACTGCCTTGAGCAATATATCTTTAAGTTGGTATGTTGACATATCTGGATGATCCTATGTGCATGTTTTCTCTTGTGCAACCTTGACCTACCTTCAAGTGTAACCTTGACCTAACCTCAGGTGCAGCCCTGACCTACCATTGACCTACTCTCAAGTATAACCTTGACCTATCCTCCAGTGCAGCCTTGACCTACACTCAAATGTAGCCTTGACTTACCCTCAAATGCAGCATTGACCTACACTTGACCCACTCTCAAATGTAACCTTGACCTACTCCTAAATGTGACATTGACCTACTCCTAAATGTGACCTTGACCTACCCTTAAATGCACCCTGTGGATGACCTTGGTGTCGTTGTTCTGGTCAAAGATTCTGCTCTCCCCAGTGGCCATCTGAGTCAGACTGTTCGGCGACTCCCCGTACTTGACCGCAGTGGAGCACTGACCAACAGATGACCACATGATGATCATCTCGCTCGTTGTCTGTCCATAAGAAATATGGATGTATTTTGGGGAACATTTGGCTGTGGAGTATAGAAAAATGTGGATGTATTTCGGGGAACATTTGGCTGTGGAGTATAGAAAATGTGGATGTATTTCGGGGAATATTGACTGTGGAATATAGAAAAATGTGGATGTATTTCGGGGAACATTTGGCTGTGGAGTATAGAAAAATGTGGACGTATTTCGGGGAACATTTGGCTGTGGAGTATAGAAAAATGTGGATGTATTTCGGGGAACATTTGACTGTGGAATATAGAAAATGTGGATGTATTTCGGGGAACATTTGGCTGTGGAATATAAGAAATGTGGATGTATTTTGGGGAACATTTGGCTGTGGAGTATAGAAAAATGTGGATGTATTTCGGGGAACATTTGGCTGTGGAATATAAGAAATGTGGATGTATTTTGGGGAACATTTGGCTGTGGAGTATAGAAAAATGTGGATGTATTTCGGGGAACATTTGGCTGTGGAATATAAGAAATGTGGATGTATTTCGGGGAACATTTGGCTGTGGAGTATAGAAAAATGTGGATGTATTTCGGGGAACATTTGGCTGTTGAATATAAGAAATGTGGATGTATTTTGGGGAACATTTGGCTGTGGAGTATAGAAAAATGTGGATGTATTTCGGGGAACATTTGGCTGTGGAATATAAGAAATGTGGATGTATTTTGGGGAACATTTGGTTGTGGAGTATAGAAAAATGTGGATGTATTTCGGGGAACATTTGGCTGTGGAATATAAGAAATGTGGATGTATTTCGGGGAACATTTGGCTGTTGAATATAAGAAATGTGGATGTATTTCGGGGAACATTTGGCTGTGGAGTATAGAAAAATGTGGATGTATTTCGGGGAACATTTGGCTGTGAAATATAGAAAAATGTGGATGTATTTCGGGGAACATTTGGCTGTGGAATATAAGAAATGTGAATGTATTTCGGGGAACATTTGGCTGTGGAGTATAGAAAAATGTGGATGTATTTCGGGGAACATTTGGCTGTGGAATATAAGAAATGTGAATGTATTTCGGGGAACATTTGGCTGTGGAGTATAGAAAAATGTGGATGTATTTCGGGGAACATTTGGCTGTGGAGTATAGAAAAATGTGGATGTATTTCGGGGAACATTTGGCTGTGAAATATAGAAAAATGTGGATGTATTTCGGGGAACATTTGGCTGTGGAGTATAGAAAAATGTGGATGTATTTCGGGGAACATTTGGCTGTGGATTATAAGAAATATGGATGTATTTTGGGGAACATTTGGCTGTGGAGTATAGAAAAATGTGGATGTATTTCGGGGAACATTTGGCTGTGGAATATAAGAAATGTGGATGTATTTTGGGGAACATTTGGCTGTGGAGTATAGAAAAATGTGGATGTATTTCGGGGAACATTTGGCTGTGGAATATAAGAAATGTGGATGTATTTTGGGGAACATTTGGCTGTGGAGTATAGAAAAATGTGGATGTATTTCGGGGAACATTTGGCTGTGGAATATAAGAAATGTGGATGTATTTCGGGGAACATTTGGCTGTGGAGTATAGAAAAATATGGATGTATTTCGGGGAACATTTGGCTGTGGAGTATAGAAAAATATGGATGTATTTCGGGGAACATTTGGCTGTGGAATATAAGAAATGTGGATGTATTTTGGGGAACATTTGGCTGTGGAGTATAGAAAAATGTGGATGTATTTCGGGGAACATTTGGCTGTGGAGTATAGAAAAATGTGGATGTATTTCGGGGAACATTTGGCTGTGGATTATAAGAAATATGGATGTATTTTGGGGAACATTTGGCTGTGGAGTATAGAAAAATATGGATGTATTTCGGGGAACATTTGGCTGTGGAATATAAGAAATGTGGATGTATTTCGGGGAACATTTGGCTGTGGAGTATAGAAAAATGTGGATGTATTTCGGGGAACATTTGGCTGTGGAATATAAGAAATGTGGATGTATTTCGGGGAACATTTGGCTGTGGAGTATAGAAAAATGTGGATGTATTTCGGGGAACATTTGGCTGTGGAATATAAGAAATGTGGATGTATTTTGGGGAACATTTGGCTGTGGAGTATAGAAAAATGTGGATGTATTTCGGGGAACATTTGGCTGTGGAATATAAGAAATGTGGATGTATTTTGGGGAACATTTGGCTGTGGAGTATAGAAAAATGTGGATGTATTTCGGGGAACATTTGGCTGTGGAATATAAGAAATGTGGATGTATTTCGGGGAATATTTGGCTGTGGAATATTGAAAAATGTGATTTCTGTTGTTTTTTTTTCAGGTGGAAAGAGGGGGGGGGGGGGGGAAGAATGACTACGTTACAGAACATGTTCACCAATCACCCAGACGAAATAGAGAAATTTAATTTGTATAGATAATATATCCTCCAACCCCCCCCCCCCCCCTCCAGAAATTGTATATGCTCCCCCCCCCCCCGGGCTAAGAGAAACCAATTTTTCTGGGAAAATGAACATGTGATATAAGAGTTTACGTTTAAGAGAAGAAAGTTTAGTTGGAGCCTTATTGCCATGAGGGAAAGGTTTTGGGCGACAGCAACAAACATCGACAAAATGGCAGCCTACATACAACATGGTATGGAACAAACAGATTTTACTTCATGTCGTCACATTTTGAGAATCATTTTGTATCGTTCAAATATAAAAGTCTGCTGCTTTAAATGGGAATTCTCCGATTCTAGATACATACTGTATTCAAATAATTGAAGTAACAAGAAATCATTTCATGTCACCAGTTCCTGTCGCAAAGTTTATGACGTCATTAGCTTGCGTCAGCGGCGCTTCCACTCTATCAAAAGTGTCTCGTCTGCCGCTAACTATCAGACGATAACAGTTATTTCCCCTCTCCCATTCCCTGACAACGGGCGCATGTTTCTATTTCTGTTTGCGATGAAACGAAAACATTGGTCGGTGTCCTGTCCCAACAATACAAATATTAGTGGACACTACTTCAACAACTTTTCTAGCTTTAGTGTAGCCATTAGTGTAATAATGGTTTGGTGAGGTGGGTGTGTGGGGGGGGGGGGGGGGGGGAAAGAGGGTGAACGAAAAAAAAAGTCACAGGAAAAAAACAAACAGAAAAAAGTCAGTTTTTGCTAGGAAAAAAAGTCACAAAGGAAAAAAAATTTCGGAAAAAAGTCACAGAAATAAAGTCACAGAAAAAAGGCACAAAAATCTTTTAATAAATATTTTTATTTTAATTGTTGAGAATTTTAAAATTTTGGGTGTTTATTGATGTGGGTTGATTGTTATTTTTAGCATTCTTATAAACGATAAAAGCATTGTGGTTTATAGCACTAATAAGTAAAAATACTGTAACATAATTTACACAGCAACCACAACTTTTGTAATGAATTTAGTTAAATAGGCCTACGCTCTAGAAATGTTAATTATAAACGAAATTTAGGCCCATCATTGTGTTTTTACATGTTTTTTTTTTTTTTTTTTTTTTTTTGCCATCCCATGGTCGGCTTCACCTCAGTCGGCCTTGTTCGAACATATTGTGTGTTGACGTTTTGCGTCAATGACAGCCTTTGTACAGTGTCTGGTTTCTGCTTTGATCCTTTCCTTTGTTATGTAATGAGCGTGATAAATGTGGGCAGTACAGGTGGTTGACCTATTGTTGCAATATGGTGAGGGCAGCAAGTCACAATAGCTACGTCTTAATGTCTTTTCGCGCTAATTTAAAGTTAGTATTTAACATATAGGCCTACTATGAAAAGGAGAAGGTTGAAAGATGTTATTAAATTCTATCAAATATATGTATAAAATAATTAAAGGGGGAGGGGTGTGTCACAGCCTACAAGAGTAGAGGGTTCGATGGAGGACGTGGGGGGGGGCATAGCCTATGGAGAGGGTTGTCTAGAAGACTGGGGGTGGCAGAGACTAAGACAGTAGATGGTTGAATAGAGGACGGGGGTGACACGTCTGTGGTGGTGCTATAATTGGATGTTATGGTGCTATAACTGGCTGTGGTGGTGCTATAATTGGATGTTATGGTGCTATAACTGGCTGTGGTGGTGCTATATTTGGCTGTGGTGGTGCTATAATTGGATGTTGTGGTGCTATGATTGTCTGTGGTGGTGCTATAATTGGCTGTGGTGGTGCTATAATTGTATGTGGTAGTTATAAAATTGGATGTTGTGGTGCTATGATTGTCTGTGGTGGTGCTATAACTTGCTGTGGTGGTATTAGATAAATCAGTGGGGTGTTTGATGTGTCCTGCCAAAGCGCTTGAGCTCAACTCAGTGTTTATTCAGGTTTTTTTAAGAGACACATATTTTTGTTTTGGTAGGAGACCACAGGTTTTTGTTTTGGTAGGAGACCACAGGTTTTTGTTTTGGTAGGAGACCACAGGTTTTTGTTTTGGTAGGAGACCACAGGTTTTTGTTTTGGTAGGAGACCACAGGTTTTTGTTTTCTTTAAAATGAGAAGAAGTTTCTCCTGTTTTTCTGGTGCTTTATACTTACACGTTGTTAAGAGGTTAGGGCGACACAGAATGACGCCCTACCTAGTAACACCCAACCTAGGGACACCCTACCTAGTGACACAGTGACACCCCCCCCCAACATTTTGAAGCCCTGCCTAGTGACACCCTACCTAGTGACACCCTACCTAGTGTCACCCTACCTAGTGTCACCACTGACCGTCTAAAACTTCTCGAGGACATTTTTAGAGCTTTGCTTACTGAAAGCGTCAGTAAAAAAAAAAGTGGTTAGACTACTTGCCGGGTAGAATCAATATCTCTTAAGCCTCATTACTTTTTGGTTTCATTAATTTTTTGTGAAAGAATATTAGGTTTCAAATTTCACTTTTTAAAATGTAAAAAAAAAATGTTGTACCATATTATTTTGGTTAAATTTGTTTCCAGTCTTCCTGGATGTCTTGGAGCTTACAATAATTGTATCATTAATATTTAAAAGTATTTTTAGGACCAGGGAAACAGCGCGGTAAAGTACAATGTAGATAGGAGATGGTTACTCATTTCTTCAGGACGATTTATGTAAAGTACAATGTAGATGGGAGATGGTTACTCATTTCTTTAGGACGATTTATGTAAAGTACAATGTAGATGGGAGATGGTTACTCATTTCTTTAGGACGATTTATGTAAAGTACAATGTAGATAGGATATGGTTACTCATTTCTTCAGGACGATTTATGTAAAGTACAATGTAGATAGAGATGGTTACTCATTTCTTTAGGACGATTTATGTAAAGTACAATGTAGATAGGAGATGGTTACTCATTTATTCAGGACGATTTATGTAAGGTAATTAACGAAAAACTAGTTTCTTTTTAACATATCGACTAATGAGGTGTGTACATAACGCTTTGTTGTTGAATGACGGCTGACTTATGACGGATGACTTATGACGGATGAATTATGACGGCTGACTTATGACGGATGACTTATGACGGATGACTTATGACGGATGACTTATGCAAGCCAACAGAACATGACATCCGAGATTCGACATAAAATATAGTTCGTCAAGATGGCGGAGTTGGTGGGGTGGGGGAGGGAGGGAGGGGGTCGGGGAGGATTCTGCTATTTTAATGGATGACATAGATTCTGATGGGTGACATAGAATGGATTACACAAACATTTGCCTGTTCTTGTAGAGCCAAGCCATGAGTCACGTGTCAATTACTGAGTTAAATCCCATCACTGACAGGACGTCAAATTATCTTTGCCGGCAGATGGGTTACATTTATTTCTGGAGAGACAGCCACGTCAAATCTTGGGGAATATGGACTCACGTGAAATCTTGGGGAATATGGACTCACGTGAAATCTTGGGGAATATGGACTGTGACGTGAAACTTTGGAGAATATGGACTGTCACGTCAAACCTTGGGGAATATGGACTGTGACGTCAAATCTTGGGGAATATAGACTGTCACGTCAAATCTTAGGGAATAGACCAGACCAAACAGTTTTGGGCCCCGACAAGTGCCCGCCATAAAACGAAAGTAGCTTGTCCTGACCCGGAAGTTGTCCTAAGTGCAGGCGATAGGTCGCCGTCAGAACGAGGTCGGTGAAAGCCTTCAATTTACCAAAGAATGAGAACTGATATTTTAATGTAGTGTTCGAAAAAACTGTTTTAAGCTAAAATGGATTTTTAAAAATTCCATCGAAAAGTTTGGCAGATAAATCACAAAATGTTCAATGCAGTTTACTGTCTACAGAGTGAACAATTTAAAAATCTGCGTGACCTGTGTCTTAAGGGCCATACGCTGTGATACTTGTATGCTATATTGCTAGACTGTCACGCTAGAAGACTGTATGTAAGACCGAATCAACCAACCAATCACTGTAATGTTTAGAACGTGCTCCATTTTAATCTAGCAGCTAAATCTGGCCAACCCAGCGGCTAAATCTGGCCAACCCAGCGGCTAAATCTGGCCAACTCAGCGGCTAAATCTGGCCAACCCAGCGGCTAAATCTGGCCAACCCAGCGGCTAAATCTGGCCAACACTGCGGCTAAATCTGGACAAGCCATCAGATCAATCCTGCCAGTGTATCAAGTGGGCTGGGTTCTCGAGGGAGCGTTAAACTATTTTTTTACATCATGTGCAGTTTTAGCAAAACAGAAGCGGTCGTAAAAAACTTGATTGTTTTTGTTTTCTTTCTTGCACTTATTCGGTGTTTTTGGTTTTTGATATTTTAGGGAACTGAACATACTTGTAGGAATAAAAAGCAAAATAGCATTTCTCTAAGAAAATAACACAGAAGACACTAAAATTAAAAACAAAGTTTTTTAAAACACACTTCTAAAAATTTAACCAGAAGTAATTGAGGTCTTGATTTGAAAAAAAAAAAGATAAGATGAAATCTGGCAAGGTCACTGTTGCCGTGTTGGCTATTCACAGGTAAACCAAAAAATTGAACCTTCAATTTTCTGACAAATGTAAGCACGTGTTTTTTCAAAATCAATTTTGTTTAAAGTTGAAGCTACTAATGCGAGGTACACAAGATATGGCCCTTCTCATCTTCTCTGATGTCTTTGTTTGAGTTGACTGTAGCACACTGAGATGGGTGCTTTAAGTGGTTGGACTAGCACACTAAGATGGGTACTTTGATTGGTTGGACTAGCACACTGAGATGGGTGCTTTAAGTAGTTGGACTAGTACACTGAGATGGGTGCTTTAAGTAGTTGGACTAGTACACTGAGATGGGTGCTTTAAGTGGTTGGACTAGCAAACTAAGATGGGTGCTTTAAGTGGTTGGACTAGCACACTGAGATGGGTGCTTTAAGTAGTTGGACTAGCACACTGAGATGGGTGCTTTAAGTAGTTGGACTAGCACACTAAGATGGGTACTTTGATTGGTTGGACTAGCACACTGAGATGGGTGCTTTAAGTAGTTGGACTAGTACACTGAGATGGGTGCTTTAAGTAGTTGGACTAGCACACTGAGATGGGTGCTTTAAGTAGTTGGACTAGCACACTGAGATGGGTGCTTTAAGTACTTTGACTAGCACACTAAGATGGGTGCTTTGATAGATTGAGAGAACGTTTGAGTCCCCTGTTTCTCGCCTGACCGCTCACACAGAGTTGCCGGTGGGGCCGGTGATCAAATATTCATTTGGCTCAGTGGGGCAGAAGATTGCCAGAGGTCAACTCTGTGACAGTTAGGCTGGGGGTACCACACGTTTCACAGGAGGGTCAGTCGTTCAACATAGGTCAGAGACTTGTTGTGGTCAGTGTCTCGTGTTCAGTGTCTTGTGGTCAGTGTCATGTTGTGGTCAGTGTCATGTTGTGGTCAGTGTCATGTTGTGTTCAGTGTCTTGTTGTGGCAGTGTCATGTTGTGGTCAGTGTCATGTTGTGGTCAGTGTCATTTTGTGGTCAGTGTCATGTTGTGGTCAGTGTCATGTTGTGGTCAGTGTCATGTTGTGGTCAGCGTCTTGTGGTCAGTGTCATGTTGTGGTCAGTGTCATGTTGTGGTCAGTGTCATGTTGAGTTCAGTGTCATGTTGTGGTCAGTGTCATGTTGTGGTCAGTGTCATGTTGTGGTCAGTGTCATGTTGTGGTCAGTGTCATGTTGTGGTCAGTGTCATGTTGTGGTCAGCGTCTTGTGTTCAGTGTCATGTTGTGGTCAGTGTCATGTTGTGGTCAGTGTCATGTTGTGGTCAGTGTCATGTTGTGGTCAGTGTCATTTTGTGGTCAGTGTCATGTTGTGGTCAGTGTCATGTTGTGGTCAGCGTCTTGTGGTCAGTGTCATGTTGTGGTCAGTGTCATGTTGTGGTCAGTGTCATGTTGTGGTCAGCGTCTTGTGGTCAGTGTCATGTTGTGGTCAGTGTCATGTTGTGGTCAGTGTCATGTTGAGTTCAGTGTCATGTTGTGGTCAGTGTCATGTTGTGGTCAGTGTCATGTTGTGGTCAGTGTCATGTTGTGGTCAGTGTCATGTTGTGGTCAGTGTCATGTTGTGGTCAGTGTCATTTTGTGGTCAGTGTCATGTTGTGGTCAGTGTCATGTTGTGGTCAGTGTCATGTTGTGGTCAGTGGCATGTTGTGGTCAGTGTCATGTTGTGGTCAGTGTCATGTTGAGTTCAGTGTCATGTTGTGGTCAGTGTCATGTTGTGGTCAGTGTCATGTTGTGGTCAGTGTCATGTTGTGTTCAGTGTCTTGTGGTCAGTGTCATGTTGTGGTCAGTGTCATGGTGTGGTCAGTGTCATGTTGTGGTCAGTGTCATGTTGTGGTCAGTGTCATGTTGTGGTCAGTGTCATGTTGTGTTCAGTGTCATGTTGTGGCAGTGTCATGTTGTGGTCAGTGTCATGTTGTGGTCAGTGTCATTTTGTGGTCAGTGTCATGTTGTGGTCAGTGTCATGTTGTGGTCAGTGTCATGTTGAGTTCAGTGTCATGTTGTGGTCAGTGTCATGTTGTGGTCAGTGTCATGTTGTGGTCAGTGTCATGTTGTGTTCAGTGTCTTGTGGTCAGTGTCATGTTGTGGTCAGTGTCATGTTGTGGTCAGTGTCATGTTGTGGTCAGTGTCATGTTGTGGTCAGTGTCATGTTGTGGTCAGTGTCATGTTGTGGTCAGTGTCATGTTGTGTTCAGTGTCATGTTGTGGCAGTGTCATGTTGTGGTCAGTGTCATGTTGTGGTCAGTGTCATGTTGTGGTCAGTGTCATGTTGTGGTCAGTCTCATTATGTGGTTTGCTCAATCTCGCTGTTGTCAGAGCCACGATATATTTATCGTGTTATGGTCAGTAGAGTGCTATAGATCTGTGCTATAGTAAATTAGATGTTGTGGTCCGCACTGTGTTGCGTTAAGTTCCTAAATATTAGTAAAGGTATCCAATAGATACTAAAGTGACCAACGCTTTTCTTCATGAATTTTTAAAGTACTTTACATGTTTTATTTACACTAGAGTTGCATGACTAAAAATCATTGCGCACCTATTGAACGTGATGACGCGTGTATAACAGTGCGCTGTAGTTGGATAAGACTACCTACTAATTTGGACAAAAATTTAATTAATTCATAAAAAATCTGTCAGTTAGAAGTGTCCGAAATTTCGCTCGGGCGTTTCGATCTAGACAGACTGACGAGGAAGTGAGTTAAATAAAAGCTTGTAATAAAAGCTTGTAAAAATAGTTAAAGGCTTTAGATAAAACAAGACAAATAAAATAAAAAAAATAGTGAAATAAAACAAGACCAAATGATAGAGATAAGTCCGACCTACCTATAGCGTCCATTATGGCAGCAGACACGATCACGTGACTTGAGATGTAAGACAGAATGAACCAACCAATCATTGCAATCTTTAGCACGTGTTCCATTTTAATCCAGTTCTTTTAGAGTATCCACAGAAAGAGACGAAGCAACAAATGGAGAACGAGAAATGTAACTTCTCCAACTGTCAATAATTTGATTGTAACTTACTGTATTTACATTCAAAACTTACTCCCTACCACCGGTACACACAGAAACAGTAGAAATAAAAAACATAGGGCACTTGACGCTTGAATAAGTCCACACGAGAAGTGGACACTCGGTTAATTTGGGGAGTTTCAGTTCTCAGTTCACGTCTGCTTCTTGAATCAAACGAGATCAGAATTTTTTGTCTTGTTATTTGGTAAGTAGATTAAAAGTTGAACAAGTGTCACATTTGAACTTTCCCATGGCCCGTTTTAATGTCGCGGAAATCTGTTCAAATGGCTGAAAAGTTGTCTTTAGGATGATTCAGGTGTAAAAGCTGTCTTTAGGATGATTCAGGTGCAAAAGTTGTCTTTAGGATGTATCAGGTGCAAAAGTTGTCTTTAGGATGATTCAGGTGCAAAAGTTGTCTTTAGGATGTATCAGGTGCAAAAGTTGTCTTTAGGATGATTCAGGTGCAAAAGTTGTCTTTAGGATGTATCAGGTGCAAAAGTTGTCGTTAGGATGTATCAGGTGCAAAAGTTGTCTTTAGGATGTATCAGGTGCAAAAGTTGTCTTTAGGTTGTATCAGGTGAAAAAGTTGTCTTTAGGATGATTCAGGTGCAAAAGTTGTCTAGGATGTATCAGGTGCAAAAGTTTTCTTTAGGATGTATCAGGTGCAAAAGTTGTCTTTAGGATGTATCAGGTGCAAAAGTTTTCTTTAGGATGTATCTGGTGCAAAAGTTGTCTTTAGGATGTATCAGGTGCAAAAGTTGTCTTTAGGATGTATCAGGTGCAAAAGTTGTCTTTAGGATGTATCAGGTGCAAAAGTTGTCTAGGATGTATCAGGTGCAAAAGTTGTCTTTAGGATGTATCAGGTGCAAAAGTTTTCTTTAGGATGTATCTGGTGCAAAAGTTGTCTTTAGGATGTATCAGGTGCAAAAGTTGTCTTTAGGATGTATCAGGTGCAAAAGTTGTCTTTAGGATGTATCAGGTGCAAAAGTTGTCTAGGATGTATCAGGTGCAAAAGTTGTCTTTAGGATGTATCAGGTGCAAAAGTTGTCTTGAAACAAATCTGGGTGCTGTTGTAGTGCCAAGTTCCTGTAGTCGTCTGTTGGAGTCGTCTGCTAACGATGGTACACCTATGGAGAGCCAAAAAAAAAAATTATCCAGACGACACATCAGCTCAACAGTTTCGCGATTGTTCGATTAGAATTTAAAGGTCAAATAAACCACGGTCAAAAGACATTTTTTTAAACAGAACCTTATTATCAACATACACATACATTTGTCCGTTATTATCAACATACACACACATGTGTCCGAGCTATAAATAGCGGGTGACATAAACAAAAGCCCAATGACATGTCGTGCACCGGGTGATTAACTAGACAGAAAAAATTCACATAATTAGTTTTAGTTTAATGAGACAAGAACTGGCCGGCCTTGTTGTCTTACATTAAACCTCGCATGACGTCAGTACTTCTCATGACAACATCAACAACACGTAATCAAATCTTTTGTTTGAGGTCATTTTGTCATGGAGCATCTGAGATGGTGGCTTTGTTGTCAAACTAGTAAATTAAGGAACATCGCAAGAATATATCATATATAATTAATGTCTAATTAAAAATGAGATTCATCATTAAAAATGAATGAAAAGATTATTCAAAGTTGGAAGGGGAGATCACCTAGTAGGATATCTCCGACCATTGAGCTGGGCGTGTGTCCTTGACCAGTTGCTACACATCGTTCTAGTTTAGACCAGACCCTCACTAGACTGGTCAGACAATTGAACTACTGGGTGACCGTGTGTCCACGACCAATGGCTACACATCGTTCTAGTTTAGACCAGACCCTCACTAGACTGGTCAGACAATTGAACTACTGGGTGACCGTGTGTCCTTGACCAGTGGCTACACATCGTTCTAGTTTAGACCAGACCCTCACTAGACTGGTCAGACAATTGAACTACTGGGTGACCGTGTGTCCACGACCAATGGCTACACATTGTTCTAGTTTAGACCAGACCCTGACTAGACTGGTCAGATAATTGAACTACTGGGTGACCGTGTGTCCACGACCAATGGCTACACATCGTTCTAGTTTAGACCAGACCCTCACTAGACTGGTCAGATAATTGAACTACTGGGTGACCGTGTGTCCACGACCAATGGCTACACATCGTTCTAGTTTAGACCAGACCCTCACTAGACTGGTCAGATAATTGAACTACTGGGTGACCGTGTGTCCACGACCAATGGCTACACATTGTTCTAGTTTAGACCAGACCCTCACTAGACTGGTCAGACAATTGAACTACTGGGTGACCGTGATTTTAGAAGGGGGAAATTAACTACATAAACTGTTGACATAAAGCGAACTGTCTTTGTCATTATGTGTGTCGACGCCAGAACGTCGGTTTGCAAAGAATAAATATTGTAGTGAGTCCTTATTCAGCTGACACGCCATTCCGTCATATACCGAAGTCATAGAAACAGGTGAACTCTACTTCACCCGCCCCATGGACCATCACGTTTGAAAAGGGAACTTTCTTACACCAAACGTGTTCAATCAGACATAGCACATGGCTGTGGGGCCACATGGCCTGCCTTAAGCTGGTTTGTGAGGGGCCAGATCAAATTACTTACAGACAAGTCAAAGGTTGTAAACGGGCCAAATAAAAGACAAGTCAAACTTTGTAAGATATTATTATATGCTCTGCGTCACTATGTGTGTGTGACTTACACGCATACAGATAAACAAACATACTTACAGATAAACAGATATGCAGACAGGAAGAAAAGCAGCCAATTTGGAAGATAAGCAGACAAACAGACAAATATGCCGATAAACATGCTCACAAGCAGACAGACTAATAGGCAGACAGACAGGCAGATGTACAAGTTATTGAGAAACTGTCCTGGCCACAAGTCAAATATCGATTAGCCAGGCTGGCAATATCAAATGTCACGTGGTGTATCAGGTGACACACAGCAACACTTACTTTTCTTATTTATTCATGCGGCTTCAGAGCTAAATGCCCTAAGCTCCTACCACAGAGCTAAGCTTATATCACAGAGCTAAATGCCCTTTTGTATTCATATCCTAGCCACCCCTCCTCAAAACTGGGCCAACAAACCTCATGCCTACAAACATGGGCTTACAAACCTGAGGCCAAAAAACATGGGGCCAACAAATCTGGGCCAATATACTATTCTAGAGCCGCTCAGCTCTAATGAGTACCTGGTCACTATAGAGATCGTACACATATTCTGTGTTTAAAAAACATTACTGCTCAAGACAAGGGTAAACAACTCATTTCACAGCCCGCCACTAGGGGAGGTAATTTGTTCGAGTGTTGACTCCGGTAGGGACAAGAGTTTTCTAAATGCCAGTCTGTCGTTTGTTGAGTCAAATAATTAGTGGCTAGTTATGCTCGGGTAATGGAGTAGAATAATTTGCTAATTATCATTAGCACACGGGATGGTTGCTGCAATGGTAGGGCGGGGGGGGGGGGGGGGTGAAGAGATCACTGTGTGTATGGTGTGTTGTGGGGGGAGGGGGGAGTGAAGAGATCAGTGTGTGTATGGTGTGTTGTGGGGGGGGGGAGGAGTGAAAAGATCATTGTGTGTATGGTGTGTTGTGGGGGGGGGGGGGGGAGTGGAAAGATCAGTGTGTGTATGGTGTGTTGTGGGGGGGAGGGGGGAGGGTGTAAGAGATCTAGTTCCTAGAAAGTTGTTTAATATTACGGGGGGGGGGGGGTGTCCTAGAAAGGTTGTGTAATATAACGGGGGGGGGGGCGCTCCTAGTAAGGTTATGTAATATAACGGGGGGTCCTAGTAAGGTTGTGTAATATAACGGGGGGTCCTAGTAAGGTTGTGTAATATAACGGGGGGTCCTAGTAAGGTTATGTAATATGACGGGTGTCGTCTATAAAGATGGCATACACCGTGAGGTGGGTGAAACACATGTTTGCCATCCATACACACATACACGCTTGGCGAGTGATGACTGACTACACATTGGAAGGGCAGTTTTACAGTATGACTGACTACACATTGGAAGGGCAGTTTTACAGTATGACTGACTACACATTGGAAGGGCAGTTTTACAGTATGACTGACTACACATTGGAAGGGCAGTTTTACAGTATGACTGACTACACATTGGAAGGGCAGTTTTACAGTATGACTGACTACACATTGGAAGGGCAGTTTTACAGTATGACTGACTACACATTGGAAGGGCAGTTTTACAGTATGACTGACTACACATTGGAAGGGCAGTTTTACAGTATGACTGACTACACATTGGAAGGGCAGTTTTACAGTATGACTGACTACACATTAGAAGGGCAGTTTTACAGTATGACTGACTACACATTAGAAGAGCAGTTTTACAGTATGCCAGCAGTGAAATGTGTTGTCTCACAGGAAGAAACAGCTGTTGGGGGCGGAGCTCTCGATCGTAAAGTTTAGATATGTTGTTATTGATGGTCGATCTCCTCACAAAGAGATAGGAATGTTTACGGCCTCTATACACACTGTATAGCAGTAGTCTTAAATTATAGAATCAAGCTAGAAACCAGCGGGCTACAGACCATAGGACCACCGACCACAGGACCACCGACCATAGGACCACCGACCACAGGACCACCGACCATAGGACCACCGACCATAGGACCACCGACCATAGGACCACCGACCATAGGAACACCGACCATAGGACCACCGACCATAGGACCACCGACCATAGGAACACCGACCATAGGACCACCGACCATAGGACCACCGACCATAGGACCACCGACCACAGGACCACCGACCATAGGACCACCGACCATAGGACCACCGACCACAGGACCACCGACCATAGGACCACCGACCATAGGAACACCGACCATAGGACCACCGACCATAGGACCACCGACCATAGGACCACCGACCATAGGAACACCGACCATAGGACCACCGACCATAGGACCACCGACCATAGGACCACCGACCACAGGACCACCGACCATAGGACCACCGACCATAGGACCACCGACCATTGGACCACCCAGTGTTTCTTCCAGACTTTTTTCTCCGGGGGCGGGGCACTTGATATTTTCGGGGTGGGGGGCTAAATTTTCCGGGGGGGGGGGGGGGAACACTGGTAAAAGTATATATTTTCTATATAAATTCCCATTTTGTTCGGGGGGAAGGGGGGAGCGACGGTAGACTTTCTTCAGGGGGGGGGGGGTGCGAAGAGATACCTGGAAGAAACACTGGGGCCATCGACGACTGGACCACCGACCATTAGGACATAAATAGCAAGCTAATAAATGTAATAAATGAATTTTATTCATTATTATCGGACTTGACACTCATGTCAGAACCCTGCCGAGACCTGCCACCTGTCTGAACCCTGCCAAAACCTGCCACCTGCCAGAACCCTGCCAAAACCTGACACCTGTCTGAACCCTGCCAAAACCTGCCACCTGCCAGAACCCTGACAAAGCCTGACAAAGCACTTAACGAGTCAATTGTTTCGTTTATCCTACACGAGCTGCCAGTTTTTTGGTTGCCTTGGAAACGAAGCGGCGATGGCCTCCAGCAGGGTCCGATTAAGGTTGGGGGGGGGGGGGGGGGGGGGGCAGGGGCCCTAAGACTCTGATGGGGAGTTTCAATCAAGGAGATTACAAATTGAGAGACAAAAAAACCAACAACAAACTGTGTAACCCACATAGAGAAGCCTAGAGTGGCTTTAGGGGGCCAACAACTGCGCTAAGCGTGGGTTTAGCGGGTCAACAACTGCACTTAGCGTGGCTTTAGCGAGCCAACAACTGCGCTTAGCGTGGGTTTTGCGAGCCAACAACTGTGCTTAGCGTGGCTTTAACGGGCCAACAACTGCGCTTGGCGTGGCTTTAACGGGCAAACAACTGCGCTTAGCGTGGGTTTAGCGAGCCAACAACTTGCCAACACTAGAGAGAAAAGTCACCTTGGGTAGAACAACCCCCCCTCTAACAACCCCCCCCCCCCCACACACACACACCATCACCACACAACTCCACCCCACTAGCTAATTGATCGATTGCCGTTCGAACAACTTGTAGATCAGACCGTTGTCCAGCAGCTGAAACACATTTCTCTCACAC